CCTAACCCTAACCCTAACCCTAACCCTAACCCTAACCCTAACCCTAACCCTAACCCTAACCCTAACCCTAACCCTAACCCTAACCCTAACCCTAAGATAATATTAAGGATAACTTCTACCTAGTCTATAAGTACCTAACTAAGATTAGTCCGATCCTTCCCTCGGTTTCTTTAACTACTAACTTAAAAAAATAATACGCGTTAATAGAGGAGCTCTTAGTAGTTTTTAACGTATACCTTCGCGACCTTAAGGGGAAGAAGATAAGAAAAAAATAAGTCTTCCTTCGAAAAAAGCTAACTAAGAGTAGAAGGAGAAAGATAATAAGAGTAGAGACTTCGCTATAGCGTCTAGCTAGTACCGCGTTAACTACCTTAAGGTCGGTTTTCCCGACCCCCCTCTTAAAAAAAACTAATATAGACTTAACTAGTTAAAATACTTACCTATAATGTAGATAAGGCGGAGGACTAGGAGGTTAGTTTAAAAAACTCGCTTCGCCCCTCGATTTTCTCTAATCTAGATATAGTTTAACGTTAAAGAAGTATATAAAGTTCTCGTAGCTAAAGGCTAGAAGTACGTACTATAATTAGTTTTCCCGATCCTTAACTCGTCTTTTTCGACTAAGAGTTCTAACCGTTATATTTTAAAAAAACTAAGGTAAAGGTCCTTCGTACTACGGATAACGATAATAAGTAACTATATTTAATTTTTTCGAGCTAAAGCGCTCTAAACTAGATATATAGGTTAGAGTAGACTTAGATTATATTTTTCGAGGGACGTCTATACGAAATTTTATAAAGATAAAGGTACTTCTAACTTCCCGACTTAAGGGTTAAAAACTCCGACTAAAGAGTTAAAAAATATAAGATAGAATAAGCTCCGAAAAAAAAGACTACTTCTTAGAAAAAAGAGACTATACTCTTAAAAAAAACGAGGCTTCTTAAGTCTTATTAAAGTTAAGTTTAACGAGACTTAATAACCCTCGAAAAAAACGAGGTTAGTCTCGTACGGTCGGAGGTAGGGTTCTAAGTCCCTATATAATAAAACCTTAAATCGATCTATAATTAAGTATATAACGCTATATAGTTTCCGCTCTAATTTTACGACTCTTACTTCGATTACTCTATAAATTAAGGTATAGATAGAACTAGAGTTTCTCTATCGATCGAGCGTAAAAAATAAACTTTAAAAATTTCTAGTTCGCGAGATATACTATATTTTTCTTTCTATCGTTAAACTTAAGTAAGGTTACGACTATAATAGTAAAACTAGACTAAGGAGCTAGAAAATAAGAGTATATACTAGTATAATACGACTAGTAGATCGTAAAAATTGAAAAAACGAGCGAATTTTACGATAGATATTAAGAGTTATTTAACTTTCTATTTCCTTAGTATCTATCGTATAAAAAATCTTAGTATCTTTCGATAGGTACTATTAAGTAGTATAGTAGGACTAGCGCGAGAAGGACTTTAACTATATTAACTACCCTCTTCTTACTAATAAGTCTACCTTTAAGGATAAGTTTAAGTAAGTTTAAGAAAAACGAGTCTACCTCCCTTTTTTTTTAATTTAAAGTCTACTCTAGTTCTCTTAAGAAAAATAAGATATAGTCCTTTTTTATTTAGTTAATTCTTACTATAATTCCCTCGATTTTTTCGAGCTTTAATTTCCTTTATTTTTTAGTTAAAATCTAATCGTTAACTATCGTTTTTTTTAAATTAAAGCTTAATTTTAACGAGATAAGAATAATCTAACTATTATTAAGTATTAAAGTTACTATAAAGGAAATAAGGTAATTTTCGACTTCTACTTTAAAAAATTTAACTTAAGCTTACCTTAAAATTTTCTAAGTTATCTTCTTTAAAATTAGCGCGACTCTAGATAATATTAAGAATAACCTCTACTTAATCTATAGATACTTAATTAAAGTAGATCTAACTCTTCCCTCGATTTCTTTAATTATTAACTTAAAAAAATAATACGCATTAATAGAAGAGCTCTTAATAGTTTTTAATGTATATCTTTATAATCTTAAGGGGAAGAAGGTAAGAAAAAAACGAGTTCTTCTTCGAAAAAAAATAATTAAGAGTAGAAGAAGAAAGATAATAAGGATAGAGACTTTACTATAGCGCTTAACTAATACTATATTAACTATCTTAAGATTAGTTTTCCTAACCCTCCTCTCGAAAAAAACTAATACGAACTTAATTAATTAAAATACTTACTTATAATATAGATAAGATAAAGAATTAAGAGATTAGTTTAAAAAACTCGCTCCGTCCCTTAATTTTCTCTAATTTAGATATAATTTAATATTAAAGAAGTATATAAGGTTCTTATAGTTAAAGACTAAAAATATATATTATAATTAGTTTTTCTAATCCTTAACTCGTCTTTTTCGATTAAGAGTTTTAACCGTTATATTTTAAAAAAACCGAAGTAAAGGTCCTTTATATTACGAATAACGATAGTAGATAACTATATTTAATTTTTTTAAGTTAAAGCGCTTTAAACTAAATATATAGATTAAAGTAAACTTAAATTATATTTTTTAAGGAATATCTATACGAAATTTTATAAAGATAAAGATACTTCTAAATTTCTAACTTAAGGGTCGAAAACTTCGATTAAAGAGTTAAAAAATATAAGATAGAATAAGCTCCGAAAAAAAAGACTATTTCTTAGAAAAAAGAGACTATATTCTCGAAAAAAACGAGGCTTCTTAAGTCTCGTTAAACTTAACTTTAACGAGATCTAGTAACTCTTAAAAAAAACGAGGTTAGTCTCGTACGGTCGAAAGTAGAGTTTTAAGTCCTTACGTAATAAAATCTTAAATCGATCTATAATTAAGTATATAACGTTATATAGTTTCCGCTCTAATTTTACGACTCTTACTTTAATTACTCTATAAATTAAGATATAGATAGAACTAGAGTTTCTCTATTAATCGAGCGTAAAAAGTAAACTTCGAAAATTTCTAGTTCGCGAGATATACTATATTTTTCTTTCTATCGTTAAACTTAAGTAGGGTTACGACTATAATAGTAAAACTAGATTAAGGAGCTAGAAAATAAGAGTATATACTAGTATAATATAACTAGCGGATTATAAAAACTAAAAAAACGAGCGAATTTTACGATAAGTATTAAGAGTTATTTAACTTTCTATTTCCTTAATACCTATCGTATAAAAAATCTTAATATCTTTCGATAGGTACTATTAAGTAGGGTAGTAGGGAAAATAACGATTATTAGACGATATAACTTAACTTACTTAAGGAGCGATAATTAAGTAAGAGAGGGTTAATTAAGTATAGTAAGACATTAACGCTTTAATAGTTAATAATAAGTAATAATAATATCTCCTTTACGCTTTATACTAACTCTAGATAAATAATAAGAGTAGTATTAATAAGTAGTTAAGGAGAGGGAAGATAAGAAAGAGAGGAAGAAGAAGGTAAGAAGGGGAATTAAAGTTAATTTATAAAGTCTAATTATTCTATCCTCTAGAGGACGCTTTAACTAAATCTTCCGGACTATCGTCTTATAGTTTAAGAGATAGTACTTAACCTATAAGAGGTCTATCCTCTAGGGAACGCTTTAACTAGAACTCTTAGACGGTATCTTATAGTCCGAGAGATAGGACTTACCTTAAGAGGTCTATCCCCTAGGGGACGCTTTAACTAGAACCCTTAGACGGTATCTCGTAGTCTAAGAGATAGGACTTACCCTAAGAGGTCTATTCCCTAGGGGACGCTTCTTATCGTAGTAAGTAAGCTACTACCGACTAGGGGTTCCCTCCTATCTAGTCATTTCGGGGAAATTTCTAGCCCTAACCTGATATCCCTAGGCCGTTTTTTCCCTATAGTATATCGTAACTTTCCTATTTTAGTAGTTACGTACGGTACGTGACCTAGCCTTACTCTTATCTTTCGTCTTAGCTAGGCTACTATAGTCGGTAGACCTTCCTGAAATCCCTCGTACTCCGGGTCATATGAAGGCCTTTCTGATAACTTACTACTACTACTACCGTACATGGATCATAACTCGACTCCTACTTATCCTCTATCCTACCATGTGGCTGTTACCACTACTACTTGATACTTGTAGGTTCACCCATAGTCTCATGCTTACAGCTTGCAGCATGCAGCATACTCGGCAATCTCTAACCGATGACAATCTTTTGCCGATGGGAACAGACAAATCTTTCACGACACGTGTCCAAGTACATCCGTATAAAGAGAGGTAAGCTCATACCTTCTCTGTTGATACTGGGCCACGGCACTAAGTTTTGCAAATCCTAGAAGTAGTGAAGGCCTTTTCCATCTCGTTTGTTCTCCGACATCAGACCCCATTACAGGAGTAGGGCAATCATGACGGCCACAACAGCCACCACCACCACCACCACCACTCTCAGCGAGACAGCAGTCACTCTTACAAAGTCACCCTACCCTGAAGGTGTCCCAGTCAAATTCTCCCCAGACGGTCTTGTCCAACGGTATCCCGGTAACACCACCATCTGTCACATACCGCTCGACTCTCCCCTGATATCCGGTCTACGTGCTATCCATGACGCTCTCGGCTCCCACGCAACTCTTGCTCGCTTCTTCCGTCTGGTCCCTCCAGAAACATGGCACATGACCGTTTTGGATGGTGTCCGGGAGATCGAGTGTGAGGGCGACATGTGGCCGGAAAATTTGGAAAAAAGACCGCTGGACGAGTACACGGTCGAGTTTTCCAAAACCTTGGGAGAGCTGGGTGACCAGCTCCAAAGCGAGGGCCTGGCACCGCCATACAAGATGCGAGTTCGGGGATTCGATCCCGCCGTGGTCGGCGTGGGGCTTGAGATTGAGGGAGCCACCGACGAGGAAGAAAAGCGTATGAGGAGGCTGAGGGATCGACTCGCTGACGCCATGGGGTTCCGTGCCCCTCGACATGACATGTACATCTTTCACGTCACCGTCGCCTATCTGTTGCGACATGTAGACGGTGACGATAGGCTTGCGCTCAACAAGACCTTTGCTGAGCTTCTCCCTAAGGTGAAGATGGAATTTGATCTGGGCGCTGTGGAATTTTGTGTGTTTCAGGACATGTGTGCGTATCCAAGGCTGTTCTACCTCGGGCGAGAAGGAGGGGAATCTGCTTGATAGATCGTCCTATGGCATAACATCACTCACGTGCAAATCATCAAAAACTCGCAGTTGACTCTGTGACAACCTTGAGTACTGCTTCCCAAGATTGACCCTGTTGTAGTAATCACCTTCTGTGAAGTCACGTAACCTACTGACTCGGTAGAAACAGCTTTTCTGCCCCTTCTGGAGTGTTAGCTCACTACACGACCTATTTTCTTGCCTCGTCGCTTGGAGATTTTCCGTCGGTTCCAGATAAGCACAAGGTGGAGCTCGAAATCCTCCGTCGGCAACAGATAAGAAAAGCTCCAATACCACCTTGGAGGGTTTTCAAAGATGACTTCTCACGTGTCTGGCCACGAGGTGCTGCTCAACTTGGTGATTGGCGGTCCATCTAAAAGGATCTCCTGCAAGATTTGTCCATCTACAAACTTATTCCAGAACATGGCGTTCTGCACGAGGTCACCACCGAGACATACGGAGCAGGGCACGCAAGCATGCGAGTATTTAAGAAGTGGTCGTAATGTCGTCCCTTGGAGAGGTGGAAAGCAGTATGACAGGTCTCTATCTTGCCCAGGGGTCTTCTTCTTCTCGTCCAGCATTGTTATCTTGAATTGCGCCGAGCACGAATAGTTCCTGTAACGACATCCTTTAGCCATGGCGGCCCAGAAAGAAGTCGACGTCTCTGTAGCCGAAGAACCCCGACCTAGCAGCAGCCCGGCCGAGTGGCTGCCCGACGCTCAAGAGGGAAACAACCAGGAGCACGACTTGCGTTTACGGGATGCCATCAAGCTGTATCCCAAGCCCATCTTCTGGAGTTTGGCCATGTCGGCCGCCATCTTCATGGAAGGATACGACACCATGTTGATGGGCAATTTGATCGCTCAGTCGACGTTTCAGAAACGGTACGGTGTCCCTGTTGGCAAGGGCAAATACGAGATCCCTGCGAAGTGGCAAGCCGGGCTGAACAACGGGGGTTCCTGTGGCCAGTTAATCGGTCTGTTGGTAGCTGGATGGGTCAGCGACCAATTCGGCTTTCGCAAGACCATGATAGCTGGCCTGATGGTCATCGTCGCATTCATCTTCATTCAATTCTTTGCTCCGAGCCTCGACGTCCTCGAAGTCGGTCAGGTACTTTTTGGTATGTGCCAGATCACCCCGGATGTTGGGGGTGACCCCCATGATGTACCTGACGAACTCGAACACTAGGAATTCCTATTGGTCTATTCCAGACCATTCCTGTCGTCTATGCAATGGAGATTGCTCCAACTTGCCTTCAACCGTACCTTACCACCTGGGTTAATGCCTGCTGGGTATGACATCTCTCCTGTCGAAACTTGAAAGGACACAAGTTTGAACACTTACACTCTCAAAGGCAATTGGCCATCTCATCGGCGCTGGCATTCTTCGCGGAGTTCTGAGCATCCAAGACCAGTGGGCGTACAGGATCCCATTTGCTGCTCAGTGAGCCAAATCTTTGCAGTAGGAAAATCGTGACTCAGTGCTAACTTGATCCATATCCAGATGGGTGTGGCCTGTCATCCTGATACCGCTCCTCACCTTCGCACCCGAGTCGCCCTGGTGGCTCGTCAGACAGGGTCGCCTCGAGGATGCAAAGACCGTCCTGAGGGGCCTCTCGTCCAAGCAACATCAAAAAGAAAGTCTGGACATTGACAAAAAAGTGGCCCTGATGGTCGTCACAACCGAGTACGAACGCGCCGTCAACGCCGAGACTTCTTACCTGGCCTGCTTCAAGGGCGTTGACCTGAAAAGGACCTTGATCCCCATCGGCATTTACTGCATCCAAACCCTCAGCGGCAACCCTCTCCGCGGGTATTCGACTTATTTTCTCGAGCAGGCCGGCCTGCCCAGCACGCAGGCTTTCAACATGACCATTGTGAGCTATTCGCTAGCTTTGCTGGGAGGGTTCGTGGCGGTAGGTTTCATCACCTTGTTCGATGCCGATGATGCATACATTCGAATTTGTGGATTTCTAACCTGGCTATTCATTCCAGTGGATTTTCCTACCCTTCTTCGGCCGCCGACTCATTTACTTCTGGAGTCTGGTTGTCATGCTGATTCTTATGGTCATCATCGGCGGTCTGGGCGTTCCTCAAGCACACTCGTCCAACACCTCGTACTCGTGGGCGATTGGGTCGATTTTGATTATTTCTTCCTTTCTGTACAACGCCACCAGTGGCCCACTCACCAACACCCTCTGCGCCGAGATCCCCTCGGCCCTCCTCCGCAGCAAAGTCGTGGTGCTCGCCCGGTTCACTTACGCTATCTCCACCATCATTGCCGGTGTCCTGACGCCATACCAACTGAACACTAGCGCGTGGAATTGGGGGGCCCGGACGGGCTTCTTCTGGGCCGGAGGCTGTCTGATCTCGACTGTCTTTGCGTACTTTTGTGTCCCGGAGACCAAGGACCGGACGACTGCCGAAATGGACATCTTGTTTGCTCGCAACCTGGCGCCACGCCACTTTTCCAAGGCCCAGGTCGACTTGGTCGAGGCGGTTGTGGAGAAGGATGCAACCACTAGCCAAGTCAAAGTGTAGAAGCAAAAAGCTCTGTTTCAGGATTTTGATTCTGACTGGCTCTGAGCTTTGAGAGTATTGAGTCCCCAGGGCACACCGGTGTCCGAGCAAAAGAGCGCGTAAGAGGAACCATCTCTGGCACCTGCTGGGCGCTTCTGCCATTTGTGCTGTACACCTTAAAACCAAAAGTGTTAGAAACCGCACAGAGTAACTTTTGATTGAAACGCGGTCACATATATGGCGGTGGCACGCCAAAGAACCATATGCAGAAATATTTGGACGTGACGCGTCTCTCCTTGCGCATCTGGGCGTCCGCGAGCGCCGTGGCAAACTTGGCAAAGAAATCGCTGCGGTAGATCGAGCTGCGGATGTCGGCGATGCGGTCAGTCGCCCAGCGGATCTGCGCTTCATCCATGCATTCAATCGCGTACAGGAAGAGCGCGCGGATATAGCCTGGATTGACTGTCGATTGTTTCTCTCGGCCTTCGGTGCCATCAGTTTGGCGCAGGGCCTGGTCTCGGTCCCGATCGACGAGGTCGCGAATTGTGCGCAGGGCGTCGCGGGAATCCGTCCACTTCGAGACTGGATCGCCCAGCACGCGGTCGATCTCGACAAACTCGGCGTGGTATGCGGCGTCGCAGATACCGATCAGACTCGCGAGGGGGCGTGCGATGCGCGGCGCCAGCTGCGCCGCCAGGTCCTGCGGCGTCTGGCGCTGCGTGGTGCTCCGGCCGGCCCACAACGCGCGCAGCCGCGCCTTGATGCGCTCCACGTGCTCGACAACCTGGTCCTGGTCGCCGCCCGTCGTGCGCGACCGGTGGTAGTGTGTCAGCCGCGCAATATCGCGCGACACCAGCTGCAGCCGGAAGTAGAAGTCGAACAGCGGCGCACCGAGCACTTCGCCCAGCTGGCCCCCCGTGCCCGACGAGGCTCCGGAAGTGTCGTCGTGCTGTGCCTCTGGTAGCGGACTGATGGTGGGGATGGGGCTCTCGTACTCAGGAAGCAGGGTCTCGATGGTTTCCGAGAGGAGGCCCGTACCGCCGGCGCGCATGGTTATTGCCTGGAAAATTTTTATCCAGGTGATTAGACGGATTGTCAACGGAGGGGTCGCCGGCGAAGGCGATGACGATTGTGCGGCCGCCAACGCCGCGAGTCTCTCAACGAAGTGTGTGCTGGGCTCTTTGAAGACAGGCACTACTTCGCCGGCGTGGATCAGTTCAAAGAGACACAGCAAAAAAGCCACCGCGATGACCGTGTCGAAATCCTGCTGGCTGTGGACTTGCAACAGCTCGTCAAAGGACCTCTTCACGGCGCGGTAGTGAGACAGGGCTTTGGACTGGGAGAGCGCGTAAAGCTGTGCTTTGTACAGCGCCGAAACCGCAATGACGCCCGACGCCACAGCTGGGCAGGACTTGCCCAGCTCGACGAGGTGCAGCTTCGCTCGCTGCCAGTTGACCGGGTCGAAGGGCGTGATGCCGGGACACTCAACCTCGTCGGCGAAGAAGGTGATCAGTTGAGAGGGTTCTCCGCGCGACGCGAGGAAGTCCATGGTCGTAGTAAGTTCGATGTCGCGCGAGATGAGGGTTGCTGGGAGGTCTGTATCTGCGTGGCCATTATCGGGACTTCGGGTGCTGGGACTCTGTGTCTGGCCCTGCAACGCCCGCTCCAGGCGCGCCGTCACCTCAGCCTTCCAGCTGTCAGGGTGTAGAAACGGGTCGTGGCTGCTATCCCAGGTCTTGGAGGTGTGGGCGAGGGTGGCGACGCCTACTTCTCCCGCGCCAGCATCTTCTGAGGCCGGGCTTGGGTTGGGTTGAAGAGACACATGGTTGATCCTGGTGTCTTCCAAGATCCGTAGTGGATGCTGATTTGTAGTGTCGGCGTTCGTACTGCGCAGTTGGCTTTTCTTGGGCTTGTACACGCACCGCCGCTCCAGCCGCGTGCAATTGTCGCACGCTGGCTTCGCTTCGTCGCATTTTACCTATGCCAATGCGTTACAAGGGGAATGAAAAAGCACAGCAGTAGGTTACAAACCTTACGTCCGCGACATGTGAGACAGCCAGACCGGACTCGGCCGCGGTAGTAGCCATGCCGGGGCAGAGCGGACATTGACATGCTCGGGCTCATGCGGGACTCGAGGAGTTTCTTGAATTGGACGCTGTGCAGCTAGTCTACATCATTGGTCGTCGGCTAGATTTTGAGAGAAGCCTCGGTGCGAGGAGAGGAGGAGAGGAGGAGAGGATGAGAGGAACTCCAGTCTGATCGAGCCGGCCCTCTGTACGGATGTAGTTGACCCTTGATTCTGATCGGGCCCAGCAAGCCATCAATGCCTGTCTGTTATCTCTTGTTCTGGTGAGAGATGGATAAAGAAAGAGAGGAGGGTTCGGCGACGGCGGGACTGATGCAGATTTCTTATCTCTAAGCGACGAGCCTCTGAAACGCCGCTATCGCTTGCCGACCATTTCACGCCGAGGTTTATCCTTCATACATTGCGCGCTGGTTACATTACATGCTGGGAGCACGAAGACACCGAGTGAAAAAAGTATACCAGGCGATAGATATAAGAGGATCAGTGCATCCTTGTCGGTCTTTGTCTCTAGATCAACCTCATGTCCAAGATGAGCAGACACGACTTGCAGGGCATCGCTGACTATTTGGTCGGTATTGCGAACCAGGCTGGCAGCATCATTCGCAATGCAAGGCCGACGTTGTTGACAACGTCAACTAAAAAGAATAGTGAGTTTCTTTGGAGAAATAGTCCTTAGCTTATGACCAACTCCCCCTTCAGCTGCAGACATGGTCACTGAGACTGACCACGCCGTCGAGCTATTTATCCGTGATCGACTTGCCGAAAAGTATCCATCCTTTGCCTTTGTGGGAGAGGAGACTTACGGGACTGGGCTCGACATCACTGGCCATCCTACCTTCATCGTCGATCCCATAGACGGAACATCGAATTTCATCCATGGATTTCCGGCCGTGTGTGTGTCCATCGGGCTTGTCGTTAACCAACAGCCCGCCGCGGGCGTGGTCTACAACCCTTTTCAAGATGAACTCTGGAGCGCTGTACGTGGCCAAGGTGCCTTTGTCTCGCAGCGAGGCGGACCACGGCAGAGACTGCCGCTTACTCGCACGCCTCTCGAAGGGCTGAGGACGGCATGCATCGGCATAGAATGGGGTAGTGATAGAGAAGGGCCCAATTTTGATCTTAATGTCAAAGTCTTCACCGCCCTAGCTCGAACGGCCGCCACCGGAGGATATTTCGTCAATTCCCTTCGATGCATTGGCTCGGCCGCTATCGCAATATGTCGAGTAGCTGCCGGCCAGCAGGATGCATTTTGGGAATGCGGATGTTGGGCATGGGACGTCGCTGCAGCTTGGTGTATCCTGTCAGAGGCTGGGGGCGTCATGGTTGATGGCCATCCTCGCAACTGGAATCCCCCAATTGATAACCGGCGATATCTTGCAGTAAGGCCCGCCTCCAGAGGACACCGCCAGTTCGTCGAGGAATTCTGGAGCATCCTTGGGACCGATCGGTCGACTTACGGGCCGCCGCCAGTACACCATGCCTTAGCGATTGACGGTCATACCGGTATTACCAGCTAGATCTGGTTATCAATCTTCTTGGATATATTTCAGCGACATGCCGGCTTGTACAAAGCCTGACAGAGCAGTCTCACCGAACGATTGGTGGTTTAGGAGCTCGCAGGTGCCACAGGCGGGCTTTGAGGGAACTTGATGGTTTCCCCTCCGGGTTGGCCTCGCCTTTCAGCCTCTCGAGGTCGCCGGTCACGGTAGTATTGTACCGGATTCCGGGGACATATGAACACGTTTTCTTCAATCACACGACTGATGAGGACCCGTTCCATTCGTACGGTTCTGAAAAAGATCTGCGAGGTCCTTTCTGCGGTTCCAATTGAGGGTGAAATCCGGGATATCTACCTCGGGTCCGACAAAGTGACCTCTGCTGTATTTGAGGATGACAGGCCCACAGAAGTCCTGTCTGTTGATAGCGACGGCGAGTAACGGGGTTTCAAATGCGGTGTGAGGCGGATCTGGCGTATTGATACCGTGACGCGAGCCGAGTTATATTATATCACACGTTGTGGAAGTTTCTTATCTTCTCCTACGCAGGTTAATAATGCAGAATCTTAGTCACTCGCTAGATTCCAATTCAAACCAATCTCTCTTCGACCTCTTTTGGAAGATTAGCTTTCTCCTCTTCTGTACATTGGATTAATCAACTACGAGCCATGGGTAAGGTTGAAATTTCAACAGCGCGGGACGTTACCTATGAAGAATGTTCACGAAGTGAGTAAATGGAGTCAACCTACTAAGGGTCAGCCACTGTTAGCCTAATACATGACATCCCTCAGTTGACCTACTTTATTCTCTTCTCTCCCTCAAACAGCTACATTATGTTAGTTAATGATACAGAATCCTAAAAATGAGTTCTTCCTATGTGGCTGTGTTACCGTCGTAACTATTACTTCAGTAAAGTCATAACAGCGTCCATTAACTACCTTGTCAAATCCTGTGGTATAAGTTCTGTTGCCCTACCGTGGTCATGACGCTTCCGGCTTCTGCCCGTATACAACAACGCTGGAGATTGGATTAGCTTTTGGATCCTTTGCACACCGAGGGAAGGAACGGGAGTTTTCCCTACAATGAAACATAGCTATGAAACCGTTGGTTCACAAGCTCCTTCCTCATCTGCGCCAGCAAGACCTCCAATTCCTCTCGCGTTTTGCCCATGTTTGCTGTATAGCCCCGAAGCAAGAATGCCTGTGCGCCTTCCATGACATTCACCAGCTCCAACGCACCGACCTTCTTTAGCCTTGGATCCCGAGCCCACGGAGAGGTGGGGATTTTGAAGATGTGCTCGTGGATGTTCTGGAAACCGGCCTCGGCCATCCACGACCTGTAGCTCCAAGGAGCGTCAGGCGCGGCCCCGATACGAGCCGCGATCTCTTGGAACGTGTCGCACACCTCGACGTACGCTGATCCTTCCTTGGGCAAGCTGTCGTCATCGCTCTTGGGCACTGGCCACACGCAGGCAAGTTCGAGGTACCCTCCCGGTTTGAGGTGGCTAGAATAGGCGTTAATTAGTTTAGGTCGCTTTTTCGGATTTGGTTGGCAACTGCTGGTCACCTGTACGCCTGCCCAATGAGCCTGGGCCAATCGCGAATCGAGTGGTATAGATCTCGGCCGTGGATATAATCGAATGAGTTTTCTGGATACAGCCAATCTTCTTCTGCATCATCAATTTCGAACTGGCAATTGGGAGGGACCCTATTTCTTTCTCATCAGCCTCTTTGGACCTCTTCGATTGAACCAGGAAAAAAGCTAACCATGGGGGTTGGATGGGCGAAATATCCGTTCCGAGGACTATGGCCGACGGGAACATATCGGCGAGGTAGATGGCAAAGATTCCTTACTACTGTGTTAGAATCTCTCTTCTCGAGCTTCGGGTTTCGTGGATTGAAGGTTAGAAGTAAGTACCTGTGCCGGTGCCAATATCTAACATCTTCTGGGGATTCGGAGGCAACGGGGCAAGAAATAGCTTGTTGTTCTGCAGTAGAGTGTACTTTTCGTGGTTCATGTCGATCCGGTCCAGCTCGTAATCGTCAACGGGCAAGCCATATTCTAATAATCCACATTAAAAAGTCTTCAGAAGGAGAGTTAGTGACAAATATGTATATTACCATTTCGTCCGTACGCGGCATATACACGACCATTCTCAATCCGCCCGTTTCTGATCTCCGACTGGATCGAGGTACAGTAACTAGACGTACTTTTGAAGGGGTTTTCCGTCAGCGATATGATATAGGAGATTGAAGGCTAGCTCAGCTAAATCACCTCGATTCTGCAAAGCCTTCGTCTTCCGGCGGCGACTGCGATATCGCGGGTTCAGTAAAAACTCCTGGAGCAGAGCATGGATCGAACGTACGTCTGGCTCTATAGCCGCCTGTGTGATCTGCTGGTTCTGATTATTGTTGTCCGGTGGTGTATTCATTGTTTAGTCGTCTCTATTTTGGCAAGATGTTGTCTCATATGGAACAACCATCGTCCTTGTGGACCATTGAGCTTTTTGAAACTTAATCTAGGCGGAAACCACGGACGCTGTGTAGTCGGTACTTCGGGTGACGCGTCCGGGTGAGTGAGGGAGTACTTTTGGCTGGGGTCCTGTGTGGGGCCTTGGGCTAAGACTACCGGCACTGCAACCCAAGAGCCGTGCCGATAGCGGCCGAAAATGGCGAAATACTTACGCTGAGTCGTCAAACTCTTTTTTGGCGACACCAATTGACAGAGGGCCACGATGCAACCAAAACACCCTCGTACCTGCAACCAGCTCAATCGAGACAGTTGCCAACCAACACTTCCCGGTCAGTCACCTCCCGCGAAGCTAAAGGGAGCGTGGAGTCGCGGACACCAGTGTTGCGTCCGAAGCGCTGCACCTAACTGCGCAAATGTGCATATCGACTTGCTTTTTCATCTATAATCAGAGCCAGTCCCCATCTTCCCTTCACATGCCGCGCTCATGGGTGTCATGGTCCATGGAAGAGGTCTGATTGCAACTCCCGCGTAATCCTGCCGGCCTTCTGAGGGGCAGAAGGATCTTACCGAGGGGTTTCGATCCCCTTCACCGAAAGTAGAAACCTTGTCATCTGCTATTACGGTCTTTCATTCAGGCATCGACTGAACCCCTGGAAAAAGTTATTCAGCTTTCCACCCGTCTCTTGGTTTGCTACGATGAGCTCCCGAGAAAACGACCCGGGCGCATTATCTGTCGCCGCAAGTGAGCTCGTCGAGTCTCTCAACGCCCTGACCAGTCAGATTTATGAGACCTCCAAGGACTACAAGGACCCCTCGGGGCAACAAGGTCTGCTGCTTCGTCAACGAATGACCAATGCGGCCCGGCAGATCATCAACGTCGTCCGGGAGCCTGGTGAGACGCCATATGAATTCTCGACACACGTGAGTGTTTTAGTCCCTCCCTATACACTCTGGACCATGCCCAACTGAGACTTCTCCAGATGGCCGAGATGGGGGCGATTCGGATGTTTATGAAGATGAAAGCATTTGACAAGATTCCGCTGGAAGGAAGCATTTCCTACGAGGATTTGGCGGCCAGTCTCGGTGCTGAGGTGCCGCTCGTCAGTACGCTTGATTAGTTGCACATTACGCCGAGACATGACTGACCGGTTGCAAGCTCGCATGGCTTGGATGATGGTGGCTACAGGTCAGTCTAGGTGTATATGACTGCGCTCGAGTCTCGTTGTCTCAACACGTTACAGGTTTCCTCCATCAAATCGGGGAGGACCGTGTCGCACATTCCAGGCTTTCAAAGCTCTATGTCTCTGGAAACGCCCAGGGGGTCTTTTTCCAGATCATGTAAACCACCCGCCCCCCTCACTTCGTGCGATGTGTGACACTGAGGACTATTCTGTTTCCAGGTTCGATGAAGCCATGGTCCCATGGGCCCAGTGGCCGCAATTCTTCGCCAAGTACGGTCTGAAAGAACCAAAGTTAGGGAATCACAATCCCCATTCGTTTGCTTGGGGCGACCCGGACAAGAATTTCTGGGAGGTCATCAGCAAGGAACCGGAACGTCTGGTCGATTTTAATCAGAGCATGAATACACTCGATGAGGTGCTGCCGGTGACGGGCATGTACGATTTCAGCTGGATTGCGAAGAACACGGAAGGTCCCAACGACAGACCGTTGATTGTTGATGTTGGCGGTGGCAAAGGCCAGGCCCTCAAGCGCATCATGGCTGCGTTTCCTGAGATCCCTGCCGAGAGATTGGTGTTGCAGGACCGGGCACCGGTCATTGAGGAAGTCATTCAGGCTAACGAACCCGGTTTTGAAGAGGTCAAGAAGATTCCACATGATTTCTTCCAGCCAAACCCTGTCAAAGGCGAGTTCTATCTACCCTTCTCTTCCCTTCTCACTTCGAGTTCCCCTCCGCGAGTCTAACCACCCTTTTGTCCTCCTTTTCAGGCGCTCTCGTCTACTACATCCGGCGCTGCATGCATGACTGGTCCGACGCGAACGATCGCATCATCCTCTCTCACCTCGCCGACGCCATGGCCCCGGACTCCAGAGTCCTAATCACCGAGCAAGTCATGCCCAATCCGCCCACGGCCCTGAATGCCTGGACCGATCTCTGCATGATGAACCTCGGTGGCAAGGAGCGGACCGAGAAGATGTTCGATGACCTGACAGCGAGTGCTGGGTTGAAGATGGTCGGCGTACACAAGAGCTTGGCGACTGATGTTGCGGTTATCGAATGCGTCAAGGTGTGACCAAACAGAGGGGGAAAGAGAGGGAAGTGAAGTTGGACACTGGTCTATACACGTGACCCACAGCCTGATTTGAGGTTCGACCCTCTTTTCTCCCAAAAAACAATCAGCAGGCGCGTATGACACTATCCTCATAAGACTCTCAAGTATGAATCTCCGTAATTTCCACTCTTGTAGAGTCACCTACTCGCTGCTCCATGTGTGAGATAGTTTAGCATCCTACGACGCTATTTGGCCTCAGCACAACACGCACACGGTGCAAGGGGGCTTTGATCTAACTAAACCAAGCCTAGTATTACTTCGGTCAACACTACCTCTGAGGGGAAGGAGTTAAAGGACAATTTCGCATTTGGTTCGTCAACAAGCTCGGAGACGGCAACCGTGTCAACGTATATGTCACAGGAAGTGATCCGAACAATAACCCACTTGTCTTACAGTCCAACGGACAATGGTACTATGCAGCCTCCCACATATCCGGATTCTCTATGGCCACTGGCCGACTCACCGTAAAGGAGGTAGAAGCAGTAGATGAAAGTTTGGGCACAAAACATGCCTTTCGAGAAGTCCCATGACCGTTTCATCTGCAGTCGCATGTTAGCAAGCCGAGAAATTCACCCACATTACCCATCAGGTGGGCGACACCAAAGGAGAGTCGTTACCTCACTCATGAACTCACAGAATCTGTCACCATCAGCATGCCATCTCGTTTGCCGTGACATGAGACTGGAGAAGTAATCAGCTTACAGTATCGCTGCAGCGTAGCTATGGACGGCCTGTATCAATCCAATGATTTGGTACTCGAAAGGAGTGCCGGTCGGGACACCGGCCAACGTCACCACATAACCCGACTACACACCGCTCTGCGCAGCAGCGGCGGCAAAGTTGGGTGCCGAGTGTGCGGCGACTCCCATGCGGTATAAAGCGTCTTCTAGCTCCTGTCTTGCCCTACACGGCAGAAAATTAAAAGGGATAGGCTTCTTCCTGACCTGACGCAGAGGACCAGCACGTTCAGAATAATAGAAAGATTAGCCAGCCATTTAAACGTGCGGAGGGTGCGCACTTGACCCAGGAGACAGCCAGCACAATAGAAGATGAAGACGCAGATGATGAAGCAGACCTTGCCCTGTGCCAGTTGTGCAACTCCCTTCCCACTGGCGAGGGTCAAGGGGGAAACATCAAAGAAAAGCTGCAGACTCTGGAGCACTTTCATCAGGCACCGGGCCCAGCACCAATAGTTAGCGGCGGAATATGTGATTAAGACGTCAGATTGTGGAGGCTTATCAAGATACATGTGTACACATATCCACACAGGCTTGGTAGAGAACTGGATGACTTTCATATATATGAGATACGAATCCCGGATTTTTGAGCTCTCCTCGGTCGTGTACTCTATAAGGGCCAAGTTGCAGTACACCGATTTCGTGAGTGTTCTCTCTGCTTAAAGATTCTTCATGTCTTTTAGGAGGAGTCGACTTGAATCGAGGGCTATTTAGAGTCGTGGGCAAGGTTACAGACCCCACTACCTCTACTGTCGGTAGTGGCTCAACAACTAAACTGCGGGAAATCCTAACCGCGCGGACGAGTACGCTGAAAGAAGCGATACGACGAGAAAATCCAAGCGTAAAGACTGGCTCTCATCACCGGGTTCACGGCAGGCGGGATGTCTTTGACTTGAACCTCCTATCGGCACTATACGTCACGCAAAAGTTCGCACCGTGCCTAGTCGGGACCAAAGTAAAGGTCATAAACATTGGGTCTATCGGCGGCCGCGTCGTCACGCCCTATACAGGTAAGCCTAGGACGCACTGGACGTACTCCGAAACTGTAGGCCCCGCACTGATCGGCACTCAGATCTTTAGGCGGCCACTAAAGCGGCGCTGAATCTGATGAGTGAGACGCTGAGGGTGGAACTGGGACCTTTTGACGTCCAAGTCATCCCCGTTAACATGCCCTCCCCTCCGCCGCGTGGCGAGGTCGATGTGGCTAACGAGGCTACAGGTTGTCGCCGGAACGGTCGATACTGGGTTCTACCGGAACCAGAGTCCCGTGAAGCTCCCCGATGGTGGGAATTTCATCGGCACGGATAACATCTCAGGGCTGTCGGACAACGCAAGATACACGTTGCACCCGCCTCGGAGTAACGATGATGCTGACGGACTATCAAACTGGAAAGGCAACCAATCCGACAATGTCAGTCTGCCCTTCCTCGCACTGTCATTTGGAAAGCAAATTTATTCTCCACAAGGATGGATCGCAGGTTCCTCGAATGATTCCGACATCTGTGACCTTCAGCTGGCGAAAGATTATACATCCGGCGTCAGTAGAAGACACTTCAGAATCGATGTCGATCCAACTGCGCATCGTCCCAGACTCACAGTGATATCAAGGAACCCCATCCAGATCCATGATAATGGCCACTCGGTGATTCTCTCACGAGGGGAATCCTTAGAGATCGGGACTGCAGTTACTGTTGATCTAGGAGAAGCCACCTTGAGAGCTTGGCGACCGATCTTATCACATCGGGAAGAGCTTGATTATCGCAGAAATGCTGAGGAATTCTGCAGGGCATTCCTTGATGCGCTCCCACGATTCCCAATCAGCCTCAACGATCCTGAGAGTTCCACGTTCGATCTGAGGTTAGGAAATAACGACACAGTATTTAGACGGGAGAGAGATGGACATGGAGGCGTAGGTGGGTTTGTAACGGTCCTAAAGGTCAAGGAGTTACACTCCCAAAAGATCTTCGCCGCGAAGGTGCCATACTTTAAAGCATCTGACCCCTGAAGCGTGGTTCGGAAACGTTGGGAATCATTAATAGAAGAGTTAGGAAAGTCTCCCATCTGCGACATGTAGGTGATTCGCGGGTCTACCTACCTCCATGTCTATGCTGATAACAATTCCAGCCTCACATAGTACGGGCGGTCGAAGTCCTGATAGGATCGCATGTCGACGATCCCCCTTGGTTGATCATGGAGTGGATCGATGATGATCTTAGCTCAACTACACTCCATGATCGCGATATCCCCACCTTGATGACTCACCTCTAAGGGTTAGGTCAGAGGTTAATCACTGCCAAAATTGTTGACCTAGGTATGACAAAATATGACCTCTCTGTGAATATGCACACCTATATGGGGTCAAATGTTTACATGTCCCCTGAATTCTGGGAAAAGGAGCTACATTACACTAATGCCGTTGATATATGGTCTCTGGGTATTGTCTTACTCGAACTGCTCACCCCAGACAGGAACGCGATTGAAAGGATGGGATGCAAGGTTCCCCCCGAGCCAGGATATGCACCAAAGATGGATTTGTGAGGACCTACAGCCGCTTGTCCAAAGCTCACCAGAGGATTTCAGGCCTCTCTTAGTGGTTTTATTATCACAGACACCGACTGATAGGTGGACAGCAGTTGAAGTCGGGGAATGGCTACAGGAAAATGTCCAGGCACTCACCAGTACCAGCAGAAAGCGTAGAATGTCCTCACTTGGGGGAATGGGAGGTGAGAGGGAAGATAGGGGCGGACGGTCCGACCACAGCACTTTATTCAAGGTGCGTGTCGGCCATAGTGCCTCGCCTACCACGAGTATCCCAGATACAGAACCCTTGGGTTCACTGAGGCCAGACGCGGAAATTCCGGACAAACAGACTGGCATAACTGAGGCGGAAGGAACGAATTAATGACATACACTCGAGGGACGAGAGCAAAGATAGACTGGCGTCAATGGATGATCAGCTATTACCCTGTCCTGTCTCTTAGCTCGTTGGCTGTACGTACAATAAAGTGCCTGTTAGGTGCAGTCTCTCTCAAGCCCTGTACTCGGTAGACTACAGTAGCTGGCCCTCTCAGCGACCTACATGTTTGATCGCATAGAAAAGTCAGTGTAACCGGTGCCTTTGACGAACGTCGCCAGCCATGGGCCTTGTTTCTTCTCAGAAAGCTCCACATAAAATTTCCCATGTGCCTCTCCATCAATAGCACTGTACACAGCAGTACCATCAGCGTGGCGTTCATCTGCGTAATAGAAACTGTCTCAGTTAGTTATCTAGCAATAACTCAGGAGGCAGTATGGCGTACCTGTATCCACGGCCTGCGTAGACTGACGCTGCTGTCTGTATCATGTGTGCAGTAGCACTCTTTCCCATTCCATGACTCATCAATGCTGGGATTGGCTGACTGTTCGTGATGTTTCCAGTAAAGATAAAGGTCCTCGCAGCGTCCTTTGGCAATGCGTCGAAGGACTTGACGGCTTCCTTTGCTGCAGTGAGGGCGCTAAATGCATTGACATTCATATCACGGATGGCATCCTTGATAGAAATCTCCAATGGGTTGTCCTTGTTGACGAACGATGCCACCGCGGCTGTCTTGGTCAGTATCAAAACAATAGTAATGAACGGCTCCAGTAACGAACCATTGTAGACAACTACGCTTGGATGGCCAAGCTGCTTGCGGACGGTTTCGAAAACTGTTGATACGCTTTCGGGATCCTCCAGGTCAGCCTGGATGTGGAGTCGCTTGTCGCTCGTGTCTGCTATAGCTGTCCGCGACACTGTTGCCACCCTATACCCTTTGGCAGAGAAAGCCTTGACAACACTAGCTCCTACATTTTGACCGGCGCCAAACACAAGGGCGATCGACAATGGTGCAGACATGGTAACGCGTTACCTCAGTAGCTTTTTGGAAATGAAGTGATGGGAGGATGACTTTGGACTCTGTGCACAAGGAGCTGGAGTCCTGGAACTGTCACGACTTTATTCCACATGGCCATGACTCTTTTAAACTTGTTCCTCTTATCAGTTCCAAGTGAGTCGCAATAGCTCTGATTGATGTACGCGGTGCTGAGCAATCGCGCTTCCTCCACTTTGAATATTTGCCCAATTGTCGGAGAAAGTTACTTCACTTTACATAATTCCACTGACCTTTCTTCGCTCAACCAGACGGGCGAAACAATCCGACCATAAATTATTAATATTCCTTCGCAAATACTTTCCAGTGATTACTATGTACTCTACCAGACACTACAACCTTTCACTTCCCTAACACGTCGCTATGCGTCCCGCGATGGGTATAAGAGGATGCGACGGCGTCTCCTACTGTCAAGGCATCACCACAACCCAACGAACTTAGTGAAACAATTCATATTGTCCTAAACCTTTTCATCCTTTCATACCGGTCAGGTATCGCCGTCTCATATCACATTGAAAATGGTTTCCTGGGCTGTCACCGGCGCGACAAGAGGCATTGGCGTAAGCTTCCCAGAGCAACACCACAACCACATTCCCAAATGCTAACATGACCGTCTTTGCAGTTCGGGTTCATCGATAATCTTGTAAGTCCTTTGCTACAACTGTGGTCATGGCAAACGCGATCCACTGACTTCACGGCCAAAGTCTGCCGATCCGAAGAACCAAGTGTTTGCCCTCATTCGAAGTCGAGCCACTGCCGGTTCGCTTGAGGCGCTTGCTGCGAAGCGTAAAAACGTTCATATCATTGTGACCGATATCTCCGACCCTCAAAAGCTGGACGACACTGCCGCTCAAGTCTCCAAATTGACAGGTGGTTCGCTTGATATCTTGATCCTCAACGCTGGTTCTGCAGTACCAGAGACTGGCTTCATACCGCCAACTGGTTTGTAAGGCAACGTGCATAATGCGCCTGAGAATTCAAATTGCTGACACTGAGTAGTCGTGGCAAGGAGGAAGCGCTGGACAAGGAGATCAATGAAAACGTCAAAAACAACCTGATCTGCAACATCTACGTGATCAACTGCTTCCTCGATCTTGTTCGTAACGGCAGAGAGAAGAAGATCATATTCATTTCCACCCAAAGTTGCGATGTTGAGTTCACTCGAATCACTGGCTTTGCTCCCGTAATGGGGTATTCTGTCGCTAAGGCTGGCATGAACATTGTCATGACCAAGTTCGGAGCTGAATTGGCCCCAGAGGGCATCAAGACACTGTCTCTGAGTCCGGGATGGGTAGACACTGATGCCTGTCAGTCAATGCCCAAGTCGATTCGTGTGACCCCAGATGACTGACTAGTAATAGCCCGGGCCATCACAGGCGACCCGGAAACACGCAAATTTGCGCTAAACGCATTCCGCAAGTTCGATCCAAACGTGACTGGACCGATTTCGGTCGATGAATCAGTCACTTGTATGCTGCGGGTTATTGGGGACTTGACACAAGCGAACAGCGGAAAATTTCTGTCTCATCGTGGGACGGCTGAGCAAGGGTTCTAGTCCAGAAGCTGAATGGACCTATTTTGACAGAATATTGGGATTGAATTGACGGGGTCATGACCTGAACTCAGGCAAATGGTGGTATAAATGGAACGCCAGCAACAACCGCATTGAGAATTGTTAGATAGTCGACTTGGTTCTCCTCATTGAGATCATGTTGGTTCCATACAGCCTCGACCATATGCTGAATGAGATGAATGTGACTTGATCTTCGTCTTCGATCTCGCCGACTTTGTTCAAAGACGTCCAGGATAGCAAGGCGCTGATCATCCCCGACTGCTTCGCACGCGATAATGAACAATGGCCACGCATTCTGACACGTTACCATCTTGTTCAACAGTGATATGCCCTCTTTCACGAGTCGCCTGTGACGGAATTCTGTTCCCGAGACACAATGGACCGCCCGATTGACATATATCAAGCACGCGAGTCGATGAAGATCGGCGACCATAGCATTGCGATCCATCGGCGTCGTAGATGGGACGTGAATTGGACCATAATCTCCTACTACCTTGGAAACGTTCTGTTCCAGCACCGTCATGAGCTCGATGCCAGTATTCGCCCGATTCATCTCGGAGTGTTTCGCGACGAGAGCCCGTCTACATGTATGCGCAACGAGCTGGAGCACCTCAATTGGACATCCGATGCCGTCTCCTACCTGCCGTAGTATTAGACGAAGCCAGAGAAAATGTATTGGAGGTCCATTTACCTTGGAGCTGCTTCCCTCAATTGCTCGGGATGATCTTGCTATAGGAGGAGAGCCGCAGCCTTCGTAGGGTACCTTCCAATGCCTGATTGTAAACTCTGCGAGGACTTCGTGATAATAAACCCAATCAAGGAAAACTGAGTATTCTTGGCGGGCCAGTTTCTGAATTACTGGTAATGTGTGGATAGCCTTTTTCACCGCACAGAGATATGTCACCCAATTCCCTTTCGAGTCGGGTTCAAGCGAGAGCTTGTGATCATTAGCAGACCATGACAAACCTGTACGGATCGAGTTGTACTACCTCGTAATGATATAGAAGCATCGTTGCCATCAGATTCTGAAGAAGCGTCTTCTCGTCGGACCAATTGATTGACTCCTTGACCGACGATATGACAAGATGCTTGTACCGGAAGCTCTTCAAGCTGCCGTGAAGCTGCAGTGATGCCAAAGCAAATATACCTTGTAGGACTGGGTTAGTTGTATCGGATGGGCATGAGCAGGCAATTGTCAAGATAAATTGTGCCAAAATCTCCTCGTCAGTAGGTCCTAGGATTAACGATTTGGATTCGTTGACTGGGATGTTTTGGTGAGCGTGATACTTGAGCGTGGAGAGTCAACATACATACAGAAGCTGAGTAAATGCGACTCGTCTCTGCTTATCACGAGGGGAGATAGATAGCTCGGACGAGGTATCTTCATGGTCCGAATGTAATGAGCTATAAGCAGCCACCATTAGTATCAAATAGCTTTATAGTGTGTCGGAAGTGGTCTTCACCAGAAATTCTTCCATTTTCTAGTTCCTTCGACAGTGTGATGTCCCAGGAAGATATGTTCAAGAACCCCTTGACTTTTGGTTGAGTATTCATTTCATGGCGTGTATCTCGCGAAACGATTGCTCTTTTACTGTCTCCCCGTCGAGGCCAGGACAGCTGCATGCCATAGCCTTGACAGACACGACGCGCCTTCGTGCAATTGCCACATCGGGGCCGATGCGAGTCACATCGAACTTTGCGCTCTGCGTAGAGATCAGTTATTTGCTTTGGTCTGCGGACTTGTTCGCTCTTGGTTTATTTACCTCTGCAAGTCCAACAACCTTTTGTGCCCATAGCCAGATTCTTACAGGCACTTGGTGAATTCCACTGGGATAGAGCCTTGTCTGGCTATATAACTTGTGAGAAACCAACGAAGGCTACCGCCACTCGGTAGGTTCGACCGAAGATCTCCGAAGGCATAGTGGGTGCCTAGCCACCCACTAGTGTCATGGTCATTGTATTACCTCAGCAACTACCTTCGTATAAGTTGGGTGTAAGTGTATCAGACTCTGGGATCTACTGAAACCTCGGAGAAAGTTGCCCATGATGATTAAGTAATAAGACGACGCACCCCCACCGCCCACGTACCCCCCACGAAGGGTAGGAATGATGTGCCTCATATTGCACGTGCTACTGCCAAGATAATTTTATCTCTTTTTTCTGAGATGTATCGTGGGCATTCACTTAAGATGACCGCTCTACCTGTAGCCATTTTCCATGTCTCCTCAGAGGGTTCACTCTCTGAATTAATCTGAAGGTAGGATTTTCAGAGAAGAGTTGGGTCTGTGGACTCAGCTTACTACGAGTCATCAGTAGACATATTTATGCCCGCACTACCGAGTTGAGCCGAACAGCCGAGGCGGAGCAAATAGGTTTTTGAGGTCGACTTGTCGCAAATACCGTCAAACGCGAACAGGGATCGCTTCCAGTAGATATCCAACTCGGTAGGTTACCTCCAGGATGTCTTCTCGACCCGTCAAGATTCTCATAGCCAATCGATCTGAGATTGCATGCCGCCTTATCAGGACCTATTCGCTGTACTCGAACATCCACACTGTAGCTCTGTTCACTCCTTCTGAGAAGGATGCGACACACGTGCGTCTTGCGACTGCGGCAGTGCAGCTACCGCGAGAAGGTCCGGGTGCATATCTGGACGCGGCTAATATCGTCGATATTGCGAAGAAAGAAGGATGCTGGGGTATCGCACCGGGCTACGGTTTCTTGTCCGAAGATGCAGGTTTGGTGGGCCTATGCGAGAAGAACGGCATTGTGTTCATCGGACCATCGAGCGAGCAGTTGGCACATCTGGGAAACAAGATCAGCGCGAGGATCTTGGCAGCAAATGCACGTATACCGGTTCTAGATGGCACGAATACCCGACTTGAGGGGGGTTCTTCCATCACGGATGTACTGGCGTTCGGAAAGAGCCTGGGCCCGGGAAGCAAGATCATTCTGAAGGCCGCAGCTGGTGGTGGAGGGCGCGGTATCCGCATCATTGATGACAATACGGACGAGCAGGCCATTCGCTCAGCTTACGAAGCTTGTCAGCGAGAGGCACATGCGTCCTTCGGCAATGGAAGCTTGTTCGCGGAGCGATACCTGCACGGTGCTAAACACATTGAAGTGCAGCTTCTGGGGGACGGCACTGGAGAAGTGTGCCACTTTTGGGAAAGAGAATGCTCGCTTCAACGTAGAAACCAGAAAGTCGTGGAGATTGCGCCCTCGAACTCCATCACACCACGGCTTAGGCGAGCCATCATTGAAGATGCTGTGAAACTAGGCAAAGCAGTGAAGCTGCGAAGTCTCACCACAATCGAGTTTCTTGTCGACGCAGCATCCGAGAAGTACTACTTCATGGAGGCGAATCCCAGGATACAGGTCGAGCATACCGTCACCGAGCAGATCACTGGTGTTGATTTAGTGGATTTACAACTTCAGGTCGCCTTGGGACGAACGCTCGCAGACCTGCACATAACGGGGGAGCCTCCGTCACCACGCCTTACATCCATACAGCTACGCATTAATGCAGAAAGCTTCAAGCAAGATGGCACTGCCCAACCTGAAGCAGGGACTATTCGACACGCACACTTCCCTACAGGAGCAGGCGTACGAGTCGAGACGGCCCTTGAAGGAGGTCGGAAATATCCTGTGAGCCCACTGTTCGACAGCCTTTTGGCGAAACTCATTGTCACCTCGTTTTCGTATGAGTCTGCTCTGCGGCTGGCTCGTTGGGCTATCGGCGAGACAAAGATCTTAGGATGCAGGACGAACCAGGCATTCCTAATGGCTTTGCTGGAAAGCCGGCCCGTGCAAGAGGGTGATAGCAACATCTTGACCATCCAAGAAAACTTCGAGCAGCTGTACAGCGCCACGCAGCAGTTTGAAGACGCACTCAGCGCCAAAGGCGACAGCACCTCTCAAGAAGATGCCTTGCAAACGGAGATTGCAGCGAAGGTTGAGAAACCTGCAGGCTCTGAGGAGCTTCCCGCACATCTCACTGGGGTTGTCCTTTCCATGAAAGTGAGCGACGGCGACAAAATCACAGCTGGCCAAGAATTGGCCGTTCTCGCGGCGATGAAGATGGAACATTCCGTTCGTAGCGCCTACAATGGTGTTGTGGCGAAAGTTGCCGTCACGGAGGGACAGCAAGTAAATGCAGGCGATCCTCTTCTCTTCATCAGGGCGGATGGCGACAGTTCAACTACAAATACGCATGCTCTTGCCGAGACTGAGAACCCAGAGGTGCTGCGGCCGGAGTTGACAGAGCTGAACGAACGAAAGGCCTTTCTACGGTATGCGGCGCGTGACGAGGATGTGGCCAAGCGCCATGCAAATGGATACCTCACGGGCCGGGAGAATATCGACTTGCTGGTAGACAGAGATTCATTCGTTGAATATGGAGACCTTGTGGTTGCGGCACAGAAGAAAAGATACTCCATGTCCCATCTCATCGCTCGAACGAGTGGAGATGGTATCATTGTGGGCTGGGCGAAGATAGACGCTCATCCAGTCGCAGTTGTCATCGGTGATTACCTGGTCCTTGCCGGCACGCAAGGATACTTTCATCACCAGAAATTAGACCGCATCTTCCAATCAATCATTGACCATCCTGCGCCACTGGTCTTCTACGCTGAAGGAGGTGGTGGGAGACCGGGTGACACCGACCACCTGGGTATGGCGGGCTTGAAAACACCATCATTCGCTCTGATGGGTCAGATCAAGGCAAGAGGAATACCTTCGATTGCGGTGGTGAATGGATATTGCTTTGCGGGCAACGCTGCATTCTTGGGGACGTGCGACATTGTCATAGCTACAAGAGGCGGTTCCAAAGATTCGCCGCAGAGGAAGTCGACCACGATCGGCATGGGCGGCCAAGCAATGATCGAGGGCGGTGGGCTTGGCCGATTTGAGCACGAACATATCGGTCCTGTCGATGTCCATATGCGCGCGGGTGGCATCGATGTACTTGTGGACACCGAGGTCGAAGCTGCGCCGCTGGTTCGCAAGATCGTCAATCTGTTCACACATCCGCGGCTGCCACCATCCGAGAGTCATTACACATCAGACCCTCTTCGCCTTCGCACCGCAGTGCCGCCAGTGTCGTCTCGTCGAAGAGCATATGATGTTCGCCATGTGATCAACCTCCTCCTTGACGATGACAGCTTCATCGAGTTCTGCCCCGAGTGGGGTCTCTCTGTGATCACAGGCTTTGGTCGCATTAACGGCCACGCAATTGCAATCGTGGCTTCCAACTCTTCATCTCCCCTCGGCGGCGCAATCGACGTCGCATGCGGAGCAAAGGTCAATCGCCTTTTCCGCCTCCTCATCCGTCTCGGCGGTATGCACCTCCTCAGCCTCTGTGACACCCCAGGATTCATGGTTGGTCCGGATTTCGAGCGATCGGTCGAAGCTCAAGGTGCCGGAAGCACATACCGCTGCTTCGGTGACTGGTTCGGCAATTCTCAGGAATTCGCCCTTCTCGGTGGTCGCGTCCTGGGAGTCGTGCTGCGAAATGGTTTTGGCCTAGGTGCACAAGCGATGCTCGGTGGTGGAAGCTTGAACAACAGCATGTGCGTGGCGTGGCCAAATGCTGTCTTTGGAGGTATGGGCATCGAAGGCGCAGTAAGGCTTGCGTACAAGAAAGAATTGGAAGCTATCAAAGATCTTGAAAAGAGGAAGAAAGAGGAGCAGGACATGATCGACGTCATGTACAGCGAAGGGAAGGCGATCAATATGGCTATGGCGGCTGAGATTGATAGTGTGATCGATCCGGCTACGACAAGGAAATGGCTGGAGCAGATGATTGAAGTGTTACCAGAGCGGGTGCCGACGTTTGTCAAGGGAAGAAGACGCGCGAAGATTTGAGGAGACCAGAGGTTATGGGTCGAGTCGAAGAATTGCTGTCGGCGGATATGTGGTGATAGACATCCACTAGACAAAGAGTAGAATTGAAATTGCTGTGCATTTCCTGGTCATGAACAAGGACCTCCCTTGAGCCTGATTGACTGGACACACAGGCTGTGTCGGAAATTGTGTCGAAATCGGGAATTATCGCCAAATCGATTGATCGAAGTAGGTCTCCCTCAACGCGAACTTAGCTAAAGGAGAAGACGTGCCTCGGACGAAGACGAAAGCATATCGCTATAGAAACTATCAATCGCCTAAAGAGTATCTACTGGACCACGACGCTGTCCCAAGTTCCACAGTTAGCATTTCCCACACCATATTGTGGGTTAGCCGTAGGATCGCTGGTCGTTTCGATTTGGTTCCCCGCGGGCAACGGGCATGTTGTTGCGACTGATACCAAACACGATTGACTCTCAAAGATCCACGCCCATAGTGCAACATTGGGTTGGTTGATCGCCGCAACACAGCATTCGGTCTCGGAGTCGGCATCAACGCTGAGGGGGTTCCCGTTACCCCCGAAACCGCTGACTGCGTTTCCATTCACAAAATTGGCCTGGTTATTGGTCGCCTGAAGAGACCATTAGCAATATTTCTTTTATATTCCGTGGGACCATCAATCGGGCACTTACGCAGGCCGCATAGGATGTGACGGTTGATGTGAAGGAGGTGGCCACAGTGCTGGTGGTGGCAATCGAGGTCGTGGTTATAATGGTCGTTGTTACTGAGGTAACGATGTCTGTCGCTGTAGTGGTTGCTCCTGAAAAAGAAAAGAGTTAATCCACGTACACCGTGCTCCTCAAACTAGCTCTCACCTGGTGTTGTCGTAATAGTTGATGTACTGGTGACGGTGGTACTGAATGTTGTTGTGGGTGCCGTTTTCGTCGCTGTGCTTGTGGTGGTAGAGCACCAGCTGTGATATTCTATGCACGAGACATCGCCTCGGCCGCCATGGGTAAATTGAGTAATGTTGAAGTTTCCCCTCGACAAAGAGAAACCTCTCTTCTCATTCTCATCTACCTCGACTCCTCTCTTGACAGGTCCGCCTAGGTCAAAGGATGCGCCAGGAACGGAGGAGGCTACAGGCACGAAACCAGAGGCGGTAGGAACCACGCTCGTGGTGTCAGTGGATGTAGTGGTAGTCGTGGTTGTTGTTGATACCGTGGTGACGACAGAGGTTTCCGTCAAGACTTCAGTCGATACTGTAGTTGCAGTCATGGTCGACGTCGCAGCTGTGGATGTGACAGTGGTAGTGTCCGTGATGGTCGAGGTTGTGCTTGGGGTGACAGTGCTGGTGATTGTATTAGTCGAAGTACAGGGTGTAGTCATGGTCGACCATTGGGTTCGTGGGCCTCTTGTCGGCCGATCGACAATCGAGGTGAAGCATTTAGTAGGGATGCGTGGTGGGAAGCCTCCTCCTCTTCCCGGTGCAGCAACGACGACCGCAATGAGGGTGAATAGAAGGGAAAACTGTTGGACAAGCGAGTGTAAATGCATGATTGCGAATTAGAAAAATTATCACAAGGATTCTAAAGAGCGGACGGAGGAGATTTTCCACCGAGACAACGAAAGGGGATACTATGGTATCGCAACCACCCACCCTCTTACCTCTATATATGAAGGCTGATGAGGAGAAAATCCGCCGGTCGTGGAAGGGGATGTCTTCTTGTCGCATTGTCACTACTGTAGGAGCAAGTGCTTAGATGAAGCGCTTCGATGAGAGTGTAAAGGTATCTAAATCCAAGCTTGAACAAAGTAGGCAATCATGCGAGACAGCTCAACCCGATGAAGTGAAGTGTATAAATTAGGCGGGTACCAAACTAGTACCCACTCGTATGCTGATGGCGCAATGTCTTTTCCAGGGGAGAGAACTTAGCCAGAAGAGACATCGTAGGGACAGTAGAAGGATCAGTAGTTGGACCGTGGCCAACCACATTAATCCTCGCCTGCGCTGTTGATCAACATTCCTTCATTTCCTACCATACATAGGGTGCAGTCAATGAGCTGGAGAATGATCAAGGGGCGCATCCGCTCGGTCAGGTGTCAACAAGGTCTAATTTCCCTGGATATGCCAGGTACATTTACACTATTAGCCGATGCGAGATTAGCTTTCCCAAACCCAACGAGGAAAGTGTTTATCCTGAACTTAGACTATAAATACTCAGATAGTCGATACCGAGACCATTTGAGGTTGAGCAATTCATTGTAGTGCCTGACAGCCGCTTGCTGGGCAAATTGACTGATTCCTACCATATATTGCCATCGGCTCTCGCATCATGCCCGGGACATTGTTTTCAGTATTGACTGAATCGCAATAGTGTTGACCCAATAAACATAGAGCCCCTGGAACCTCTGGCTTTGGTATAGATTCCTAAAATATGCGTGGCTGTTCTCGCCAGCGGCTCCTCTCAACTGCAAAAGTGGTTTCTTCTTCAGGATTTATTTCTGATCATTATCCTGAGCATCATAGTCGATTCTCTCCAGACCTTTGTCATCCCAGATCTTCTTGATCATGAAAGCAACAGCACCTGCAATAAACATAAAGCTGGTCATGACGGCAAAACCCATAATGTATCGAGGGGCATCTTCTGCAGGCCAGATGAAGGAACCATAGACAGAAGCCAGGTTACCTACTGAGCGTCAGAGAAACAACATTGGTGCGGAAGGAATAGCGACACTTACCAAACCCATTGATGATAGGGACTGAGACAGCACGACGTTCACGCCCAGGAAACATGGTGACTTCCCAACTGATCAACAAGGGTACGCACGCCTGTACCCCAGCAAATCCAAAGCAGATGAAGGCATATCGGACGGAGAAATGAGTGCTCGCCGCGCAGATGATGAACGAGACAATTGCAAGCACGGAGCAACCAACAACATGGTATGCCTTCTGTCTGGTGTGGTCGGCCGAAAACCCCGTGGCCACGGTGACAACTAAGGTGACAGCGTAGATTGGGACGGTCATGACTGCAGGAGGGTGAGATGATGTTCTTGATGCCCAGGATGAGTGGACTTACATTGTACCATTCGACCCTTGTAGCCCAATGCTCCCATCAGGGTCGGGAAGAAGTACGACACCGTCCCAGAAGCTAAGATGGTGTTGAGCGAGACCATGAATAGCTATTGACAGTTAGCACCCTCGTTTTCAAATGCTTGGATTACCATGACTACTCACCCACATCTTCCAATCCTTAATGGACAAGATCAAGGCCTTCTTGTAGGGCATCTTGCTGTCCAGATCCTCTCGAATGATCAAGCGAGTGGTAGCTAGCTTCCTCTCCTGCGCAGAAAGCCACTTGGTGTTGGTGGGATAATCTATGCTTTGTTAGTCCCCGATATCAATCCCTTCTCAGCAGCATACCTGGAAGAAGGAAAAATGCAATGACACCAATAGCGACCGTGCCCAGACCCTCAATAATGAACAGCCTGGATTCAAGTAAGCAAGTGGTTGTCGACACTTTAGGTGTAATGGATATCCCACCATTTCCATCCGCGTACACCTCCAACACCTTCCATTCCGTCAATAATGCCGCCAGCCAGGAGGCCACCAAAAGCACCAGCCAATATAGTGCCAGTATAAAAGATCGCAATGCGTTTAGACAGCTCCGATGGCTAGTATGCATCAGCAAGGAGGCAAGCAGGCTCAATCAGCAGGAATAGCGAACCTTATACCAACAGGACAGGACAAGCATCACACCAGGAAAGAAACCGGCCTCGAGTAAGCCAAGGGCAATGCGAAAGGCCACCAAACCTCCAAGGCTGTCGATACCCTTTATGGCGACCGAAACAGCGCCCTAGATGCGAGTTACTCTTTGACGAAGTCGAGATTTTGATCCTCATGTACTGACCCACGCAATCATGATGGACGGCAAAAAGATACTTGGCTTCGTTCTAGCCAAAATCATCACGGCAGGAGGTTCGAACAACAAATAGGCCTGAGAAGGGGTTAGAAAGCTTGCTGATGAGTCTGTTCGCTGAGGGTGACTTACAACAAAGAAGATAGAGAGAACTAGAGAGTAGTCCGAGGAGCTCAGGCTGAGGTCCTTTTCCATCCCACCGACTTTAGCATTCTGCACCAGGAGGTCAGTCACAAGCCACAGGTATATTGCATTGCACAGCTCCTTGACTTACGCCAATGTTGGTTCGGTCGAGGTAATTGAAGATATACATGGCCCATAGGATTGGGATCAACCGCAGGTCGATCTTCCTGAGTAGCTTCTTCTCCTCAGGTGTGCCTTCGACATATTCTAGGTCGTCTGCTTCGATAATCTTGGGGCTGTCTTGGAAGGCCAGCTCCTGGTCGTAATGCTGGATGTCTACTTTGTCGTCAAGAGACATGATTGGCTAGTTGAGCGCGGCAGGAATGGTCGCAGTCACTGTCAGTTTACAAGCTGGGTCGAGTGCAGATGGTGAACAAAAAACTAGACATGGACCAGCCCTAGACTTTTGTATCCCTCCATGGGGCCCCGCAGCAATTGCTAGTCACCACTTGACCCGCAGGGATAGAACTCGCCATCAGGAACGATTGGTTGGAGGAAAGAGATATTCATGAGAAGGCGGCGTATTTCCAGGGCCAAGATCGGATAAAGGCGGTCAATATACTGCACTACCACCATCGCTGTGGATCGGACATTCCAAGTCAGACTTGAATGGGCTAAAACAGGCCGAAAGTAGCCGGAGACAGATGGCACAAGTGCGGTTGGTCACTCGATGATTGGGTGGTTGAGACAAGGGCATCAGGAGAGCAACTGATACTTTCTTCGTGCTTTGTCTTCCTATAACAGCTGGTCTTACAGTAGTAATATTCAGACATTGTGTTTATTCAAACTTTAATCCAAGGTCGTTGGAGTGAATGCTCCCCAGAACTCCCTGTCGTCATAGTTGAAGAGCGACGTAAATATATCTGACGCAGGCACAAGCGGAGGTAGACCATGGGCGGCACTTTCGGTGCCCAAAGGCAGACTGATGTCCAGGCTGTCGGTTTCCTGGCCGAAGCTGGCGTCGATGTCGGCCGCAAGCTCCTGCAATGGCCGCTCTGCAACAAACGGAGATTCACGATTCCCAAGAAAGGCGTGCAAGTCAGTTTCACTGGGGCGTAGTTTCGTAGTTACACCAGGAACTGTCGAGCTAGCCGCAGGACCGGATGGGGCAACACCAGGTGAGGACGGACAGGTGACCACCGGAGTTTGGATGTCATGATCGCGGTATATACGTTTCAACAGTCCATCAAGGGCAGACGAATTGCGGATGGCGGGATGTCTGTGGTCTGACGAGACCGTCGACATACATTTGATGAGGCCTCGAATGAGGTGAAGGATCGCCCGTTTCTGCGACGGTGGTAGTGGGACAATCACCGCTGCCTTGAGGAGGAATACGCCCGCATGCGTGAAGAAGTGAAAGAATCGCAAGGGAAGATATGCCAAAGCCTGAGATATGACTTAGATTGCTGAAGGGATTACATGGGACAGATGGCGGGGATACTCTGCTTTGACATACCCCAGATGGTTGGAACCTGCCTATGGCCAAGCGTAGCACATCAGCCTGCGAGGTCAATCTATCGCATTAGCCATCTTTAGAGTCTTCAAACCGAAATTCACGATGGATAGATAATCTCACCCCTGCATTCATTGCCTCAACGATAAAGCGGGCGTCCACACTGCCCATCAGTCCTGTGGGAAAGTAGTCAGGTGGCCGACGACCGTCGTTACAGCTGTCTGCCCGTTGCATATGCGCCTGTAAGGAGAACGAATAGATATACAGGCGTAGATGGTGCTGCGAAACGCCAGCCCTGTCAGCCCAATCCGAGTATCTGAAGTCGACGGTTGTGCACTCACAAATGATATCCAGACACATTCATTGATCGGGTATGTTCGCCATGGCCTCTTTTGCCATCGGTTGCGGAATGCAGACAGCGCTGAGACAAGGCTAAATTAGCAGTAAAATACCGCACAGTTAGTATCTCTCACCTACTTTCTGTAAACTCGTCAATGTGCTTGTAGTAATGCTCCGATTTCGCGATGGCGAGTGAGTGGCTTTTCGAGGGGTATAATAGGTCGTGAGCGTTGCTCAATACCTGTGTTAGATGCATGAGACACTGCAAGTATGCGGCATGGTCATCTTGGACGCCCTCGATTTCGCGCATCTGGGGAAAGTCATCGGCAGGATCAAAGTGGAGATGTTGAATAGTCATCCCGGGACCTGTAGCGTAGTATTCACTTCAGCAAAAGATGTCCTCGCAGAGCTTCCTGTACGTGCGGGACAATGGAGGAGTTCCCAGGGGGCTTTGACGCACTTCGATGCCAAAATGGTTTTCCAACACGAATTGATATTTGTCGATCGAGACAATAGCAATCTGGAGGTTATGTGACTGATTAGCTGGGCGAGCACTCATGGTTGGTCGCAGAATTGCCTTACACGTCCATACAATCTTCCCTCTACCGCGGTCGTCCGCAAATTTCTCCTCAATATCGTCCGGTTGCATGACCAGCTGCTCGAGGCCTCGGAGGTAACCTAGCCTGACGGCCTTGATTAAAGAGCTAGCAAGAATCGGAAACCTAGAAGAGGGAGTGCCTTGACTCACAGTTCCGACTGTCATCCAACACATTCGATCTTCAAACCCCAGTCCTTTGCTGTGGCCCATATTTGGTGGGTATTCTGCACAATATTTCAGCATGGCCCTTGCTGAGATGGATTTGGGAACCAGGGTCGTTGTACCCGAAAGTAGTAACAATCCTTCGATCATCTCTAGCGATTCATTCGTCCCCATGATGGCGACCTGGGCAAAGAGCCTCTCCACTCTCTGCCACAAATGGTGATGAAGAGTGTATTCACCCAGCAGACCGGTGGTCACTACAAGAATCGCCGCCACAAAATGTGGTTCTCGGGCTGCCATTGTGAGGATTTGCTCTGATGTTGTCGGTCTCCTTTCATAAGGAATGAGCGGCATCATGGGATGCAACGAGCCAAGATAGAAGTTGAACAGTCTGAACAATGTTGACTCGTCTATAAAGCCCTCTCGAAGCAGGAAAAACTGTGGCCTGGAAGCGCCGACGCCCAGCACATCCACATTGTCAGATTGTTCGGAGCCGAAGGATGCTCGATCTTGGTCCAAAAGTCGTATTGCATCTGATGTGTTTCTCAACGGAAAGGTGGCCAGTGTTTGACTGGCCATTTGCTGGTCATAGCTTGGTATCTGTCGGTGGCCATGACTCCCTCGAGAACTGGGCGTTGTAGTGGCTTCTTCTCTGCTTCCCGCCACGGGTTCAAACGACCCCATCAGTGACGGCCATGAAGACTGGCTTTCTTTGCTGACTGAGTATGGCAAATCAAAGCCGTAATTGTCTGTGGTTGCCGCTGGTGCAGACAGATCACCATTTCCAACATTATGTCTCGCTCTTTTCGGAGGCCGGCCTCTACGTCTTCGCACCGGGAGAACTGAGATGTCGTGAGCATGCGCATTTGATAGTAAAACCACCTGAACCAACCACACAGTAAACTGGCTCGACGACAGGCATTGCAAGGTGGTTTGGGATTTGCTGGATCTCCCAAGCTGCACTTGTGTTTCTTCTGTCGACAACTCTCACACGCCTGATAGACCCGTTTGAATAATGTGCCATTGCCTGATGTGTCCGGCGATGGGCCTGGCCCAGGTTGTAGAGACACTGCATTAGCTGTGCTAGACATTCTGAACTGCTGTCACACGCCTGGCCAATTATGTGCGACAGCGATATGAATAACGGGCAATGCAGGCATCTGGAGGCACTGGACGCACCCCTCCACACGTAAGAAAACATGGTAAAGGCCTCGGGTGAACAGACGGCGAAGCTCGGTAGATCAAGGCCCGCTGGATTGGAGGACGAATAACCAACATTACCTAGTGTGAGCGAGTTGAAGTCAGATGGAGGAAATGGCCGCAAATACCCGAGACGATCAACTGAAGAATAGGGTTGAACCAGGTGATGGGAATTGTCCGCACAACCAGAATGTCAAAGCCGTAGAGAGAAAAACGCAACTTGATTCACATGCAATTCTTTCGGTCCATGCTATCCCGTCTATGCTGTCTCCTATTCTCCCGCCTCCGGACGAATCTATTTTGGCTCATATACGCTACCTCCAAGGCAATCTCTCAATATCCAAAGCCCCTGGAACTATGCTGTAACCGCGAAGCCACCAAAGTTGCATGGAGATCCCTCGACCATCTTCTAAAAGTGCTCCCCTCCATGGTTTCAAGAAAGTCTTGGTGATATCAAGAGCTCAACGGGGCAGGAAAGGCTCTCAGCTTCACGATTGCTTTCTTTCCCTCACCCGCATTGGAAGACCCCCTTGGATACCCTACGGAAGTCCCAATGTCAGCATTCATGTTATATGGTTGCAGTTGTGCGGGCAAAGAAGGGAACGACAAAACATACCATGTTCATGGCAGCAAGTGGTTTATACATTCTGCTATCGTCTGAGAGAATGATGTCAAAGCGTTGAAGGATTGCCACTGTAATAGTGATGCCCTCATACGTAGCCAGTGGCCGTCCGAGGCAACTACGCGGCCCAGCATTCCAAGCGTGATATTCTACAAGCAGCAGAGTCAGTAATCGGAAATATTCCTGACTCCTTGGATGTGGGTTTCGGTACTTACTGAATGGACTGTAAGAGATGCTTTCCCCGTTCTCCTTGAGCCACCGGTATGGGTTGAAGACCGCAGCGTCCTCTCCCCAGATTTCTGGCATGCGGGCCATAACATAGTTCTGATAGCTGACAACATCACCTCTTCGTGGATCGGTCAATATAAATCATCAATAAACACCCGCGGAGCACGACGCTTACTTCTTAATGCGACGGGGAGGTATATTAAGCTCAGGGACCGCTGGTAGAATGTCGTCCTCGGCCGCCTCCAACTGGCCAGCTGGAGAAACAGTGTTGAGTCGAGTGCATTCGTCCCACATAGCATTCGTGAACCGTAATCTCTGTGCAGTATACGTGAGCCGGAGTATCATGATGACTGAACTTAGCTTTGGGATGTTGACTCACCGGCGCATCCGTGTAGTTGAGGTATCCACTGGTGAAGCCAAGGTCCTCTGCCTCAGCACGGATCTTCTTCAAAGCATTGAGATGTTTGTTTTGCCGATGATGAATCTCCTTCATGAACCAAGAGGTATTGTAGGTCGTTGTATCCCCTGTAATTGCATGAGATTATCAATAGATCAAAGATGACAGGGTTCAAACCTACGACCCGCTGACAGAAACGAAAATACCATTCCACCCAGAGTATATTTATCAGTTGTCGATTGTAAAAATAGGTCAAGGAGGTCAACACCAGCGTCTGGGTTGGGTTTGTAGCCATCTTTCATTAGGTTGAGACGCTTCTCGATCAGAAAATCAATCTGTTGATAAAAGAGATCCACAGCTCTTTTGGTGATGGCATCTTCTCCAGAGAGCTTCTCGGTTATTCTCCATAGAGGGTCTCGTCTTCTCCGGTCAAATACTATGAGAGAAAATCAATGAGCTGCTATGTGCGAAGCACAAGGTGGTAGGCAGATTGATACTTACAATGAGTGGCTTGATCAAATGCCTCGACAAAAGCTGGTTTTGATTCCAGGCACTTCGGATCATCAGACATGATGTCCAAAGCGAGCTTATCCTCGTGAAAGGCAATTCGCAGAAAGAGGCAGAACATGAGACGGCCCATCAGTTCCTGGAAGTCAAACTCTCTTTGCTCTTTGGCCAGATTAGAGAGAAGGCGGATAAAGATATCCAGCCAATAATGAACAGATTGAGTGATATGTGTCTCGAAGTTGCGCTTGCTGAATGCACGAGAGGCAGCTTTGCGTTGCGTTTGCCATTCCATGCCATCCGCAACAAAAATCCCACTTCGATGAAGAGGACCAAACATGTTCCTGGCAAATTTGCCGCGGATGTAGTTCTTGCTGTTATGTTTCTGAATATGCTCGAGATAGGTGGGATGGTTGATGATATGCATGCGAAAGAACGGAACTGTCATTTCGTAGGCAGGTCCGTATCGCTTGTACAAAGAGTACCAGGCCTCGCAGCTGGCGGCGCCATTTGTTCGGAGATCGTTCAGATTTCCTGTGAACGGCTTTCCCTTTGGACTCGCAATCCATTTTGAATTGGCCGAGGATGATGCCCAGACGCCCTTGTTACGGTAAGTCCAACAGATGCCTGTGATACCATTAAGCACGCGAAGCCGGCCAATTGATTGTGAGTCTTACAGCCCAGTTACTTACCTGCGACTGTGAGGAGAAGGAGGATAAGTCCATACTCAAGTCCTGTGACGACCGAGATTTCTGGAGGCACCAGAGAGTGCTTGAGCATGATGGACATGTTGTTCACTGATCAGAATTGGTCGCTGCTAAGACGATAGGCCCTGTTCGCGTATGCCAATTGCAGAACAGATTGTTCATCACAGGATATCTGAGTACCGATTGGTATGGACTCCTTGGTCTTTTTGGAATGCAATGTCTTTTATGTGCTTAGCACCCCATTTTCCAGAAGTTCATGACCCTCAATTTTACTGATTAAACGCCGCAAGTACCCGGGAACTCTGCACCTTTCGACCCTTTAATTCCCCGCCTTCCCCCACGATTGTAGTGGCTTTGATGGTGGACTTTGGTGGAAGCGGGGTCCAGATGTCAGACGTCAGTGGTCCCCTAATGGTCCCTTCTTCCCCAAGGGGCTGCTGGACGGAGCCATCAGCCTTGTGCAGGTAGCAGCCCACCAGGGAGCAAGTTCGGTTTACATAGAGTGCCTTACCTAACTGCCTAGTTAGGTATATATACCTTGTGTACGGAGTACTCAGTAAGTTCAAATTGGATCAAAGGGACCTAGTTCCAACTAGTGACTGGATCGCCTCACTTTCCTCACAGGGTAGCATCATTACCTCGATTATCGTTGTTAGGACCGAGGTTGGATTTGTCGCCCGTCTACTGCATTTGGCCGTAGCCGACATCCCGAGGCGGGAATGCACCCTCTTTATATACCCAAGCAAAGCACCAAAGTCTCTCTACACATTCGCGTCTCGAAATCAGTTGACGAAAATATTTGTACGCGACACCTTAGCCAGATCACTCCTGAACCAGACAGCGGCCCTTGGCACTGGACACCATGGATCTACAGGCGGATCTTCGAGCACAAAACCTCTTCAAATTCGACCACCATGTCGCACTGATCACTGGAGGAGCCTCTGGTCTCGGCGAGGTCGCCGCGCAAGCCTTTGTGCAAAATGGCGCCAAAGTCTTTATCGCCAGCCGGAAGGAATCCGAACTGAAACGGGTGAGAAAGTTCTTTCGGGCCTTATACGAGCTCTCAGCTAAGATCCGAATTCACAGTGCGCATCAAGGCTGAATAACCTTGGTCCCGGAAAATGCGAGTACATAGTTGCCGACCTCAAAGACAAGGCTGGCTGCGACCATCTGGCATCAGAAATCAAGAAACGGACAGACCGTCTGACAGTCTTGATCAACAATTCTGGCGCTACCTGGTACGATTCATCCTCGGCCACAACTGTTGACAGTCAATCGCAGATGATGAATGCTCACTCCCTGGGATAGGGGTGCCCCCGCAGATGACTTTCCAGAACACGGTTGGGACAAAATCATGGCATTGAACGTGAAGTCAATCTTCTACTTGACCATCGCGTACGGGTGTTTCCTGTGAAGATTGAGAGATCTGATGCTGAAACTGGACCAGTCTCGTACCACTTCTCGAAAAGAGCACCTCGCGACAGCAGCCTTCTAGAGTCATCAACTTATCCTCTATGGCTGGGATTGCGACGTCTGATCCTACCTCCACTGGAGAAGGCGGTTTGTCAGTTGCAGGAAGCGGACCCTACAGCTGTGCGTACCCCTCTTTCCGGTAGCTTTTGTCTTGTTATCAACTGACGTTTTGTAGATGGTCCATCCAAAGCAGCTTGCATTCATTTATCACGACAGCAAGCGTCGCAGTTCGCCCCAAAGAACATCCTAGTAAACTGCATCTGCCCGTAAGTCGACTGCACGGATTTTTATGCACAGTCTGAACGAACTGGTTCTGACCGACATATAGGGGGCTGTTTCCCTCCCGAATGTCGAACTATGGCATTCAGAAGGGTCTTGAATTCTTCCTCAGCATCCAACCCACTGGAAGAATTGGGACCCCCGAAGATTTTGCTGGCCTGGTCTTATTCCTTTCAAGCCGCGGATCTGATCATATTACGGGGAATGTGATAGAGATTGATGGTGGAAGCGTCCGCACTGGCTTCAAATCCACAAAAAATAGCTCCAAGATTTGATTTCCCACACTGCAAAGCCGTTATTATCGAGATTCATCTCGATGTTACTTGTAGATTCGATCGGTGCATTGGATGAAATGACTTTAGGAATTGACAATTCAAGACCGGACTTTTCCCCCGAGTTTTACCAGAGGAAAGGAAGGGGCTCGTCTGTAGGTATCCAATCTCGAAATTCTGTTTTTCTACTTGCATCTTATACGAGGTATCCAAGGAGCATCATTGTAAGACCCTGATTCCCCCTCTGCCTTGGCCCAAGCATTGAGCCGCCTTCTGCCTTACGCTAGAGCCCCAATTCTTAGAGCTCATTAGCCGTATATACGTTGGAAGTCTTGTTTCAGGGGCATCAGCACATATTTGGAAACGATCAGGTGCTCACATGTCGTGAACGCGCAAGGCCTCTTCAGGCAGAAGCGCGCAACTCAGGATCAGTACGAATACGCCGGTATGAGGTTGCGCCGACCCCGGATGAGGCAGGAACTGTATAAAAGTGCATGGCAACACCATGAAGGCAATCAATATCAAAAACCTAAATACCACAGAGTTCATTGACCACTAAGACCAGTACGACACAGCACCAAACCTACCCATCGCCATGCCATACGCGCAGACTATCTTTCTCAACATTCCAGTCAGCGACCTGACCCGATCGATTGCCTTCTACACCTCCCTCGGGTTTGTTCCAAACCACACCTTTTCCAGCGACTCGTCTATCATGATGTCCCTTCCAGTTCCGACTCACTTCGCCAGCCCACACGAGTCGCCCATCAAAGTCATGTTGCTCGAGCACGGTTTCTTCAAGAGTTTTCTCCCCGAGAACAGGACGCTGGCCAACGCAAACGACACGGCGCAGGTGCTCTTGTGCTTCAGCCGGGAGAGCAAGGAAGCCGTCGACGACATGGTCAAAAAGGCAGCGGAGCACGGAGTGAATGTGGATATTTCAGTAAAGAATGAAGAGCAGAAAAAGGCCGAGGAGGGCATTGGGATGTATGGTCGCAACTTCGAAGATCCAGACGGGCATATTGTGGAGGTCGTCTATATGCCGGTCGAGGCCTACGAGGGAAAGGAGTGATGGACACATTACTTTCCCACGGGTCAATCAGGGAGCATGTTGAGATCAGTTATATTTCACTCGAATGGAGCTAGGAAAATCCAACTACAGTTGTACGCACAAGGTTGCTTTGATATCTCACTCTCGATGATTTAATATTTGCAGTTCTCATATTCGTTAATGAGACAGCAGCGGAGTAACGTTGTAGCATACAGATATGCCACCAACCATATCCAGTGTTGTCCCAGACATTACATCGAGGATATCGTCCAGCATGGCAAGGCATGATGGCTTCCTCCCGCAATAGTTGACAAGCGACGGGCGGCAAAACTTGGTAGGGAGCATAATCTCGGCCTCTGCATCCCCTCAGTAGAATGGAGAGAGATGATGATGCTTGTTTTTTTCCCTATCTTCCTCGTTCTGCCAGTCGATAAGTTCTTCCAAGGTCATCGGGAAGTAATCCGTTTTGAGATCATCTCTGTCATCTTTATCCAGTAGGGTGATATGGTCGGAAGTGTGCGACAGAGGATGGTAGGACCAGATGGTCATGTTGTCGTAGTTGTAGTCTTCGTCGAAGATCCCGTACAAGGGGAAGTTCTGGGAGTAAAAACGGTACTCTCCGTCATTTTTGACCCTCCACATCCTGCACAGAGCATTCATCATGTTGAACTTCCCCGCATCCACCCCGTTGTACGGCGGTGGGCAACATCGCAAGGGGCCAGGCACTCGATAGGGCATGTTGCGACGATCATCATCCTCAGGGGCGTCGTCGTAAAGGCTGTATGGTTTGTTCTTTTTCCACTGGCAGGTTTTCACCGGGTTTCCACCTCGCGAATCCCACTGTGCACAAAAGTCCATCCATTTCGCAAGTGTAGCTTTTCCGATCCTTTCACAGGTGGGTTCCAAATACGGGTAACATATATTGATGGTTCGGTTGACCAGGAAATCACCCCAGCCGATTGGCACTGTGTCATAACAGCTTTCTGGGATAATACTTCGAGACAAGAGCGTGTTTGCGGAGTTCTCTATGGGTTGAGCGGATCTGGGAGAAGGTAGAGTTGCGCTCGCAAAGGAGATGCCTGTCGCAGTGATTAGATGGGTCAAAGCCGACAGCGCAACCATGTTGGATTTTCGAGGTCTGGGATCGTAGGGGTCGCTGTGGTTTTGACTGAAGGTGTAGCACAGGTGGATATCAACTGCTTCGTTTGTCCGTCACTCGCTGGCTATAGTTCTGAAATATATGTGCCTGGATGAAATCAATTTTTGATCAGATTTACGTTGAGTTCACCCACGCAGGTCCAGTGCTGAGCCAGTGGAACTGGCAGTCTATTTCCCACACCGTATATTCAACCAGGCTTTTGCTTCAGACCGTCTCCCTGGCGAGTCAGACACTAACGAAATGAACCATCTGAGATAAAACGTGAACAGGCGCTGGTAGCAGCCCAACAGATCACAGACCGCACGAATTCCTGGGGTGGGATTTCAAAGAAGAACGGATAAAGCTTCGAGAGAGAGCGGCATGACGCTGACCGGTTGGCTGTCGAGCCCCCGGGACAGGTTACATCAGGCTCGAGGAGTCTCTTCTGACTGAGGTTGTTCCTTTCGCAACATCGCCCTCGTTTCGACATAGGATTGAGCCAGGGACTTAAGCATAGTGGCAGTAACCTCACAGTCATCGGTGACGAAGGAGTGCGGCAGCAAGAAATGTTTGCATAACTGTAAGAAGTTCAGTCCAAGCTGGCTAACTGCGCCTTCTCACATCTCAAAGCACAAGACTTAACTGCGATCTTACTGTGATGGTGCCCGTCAGTCCTGCTAGACAGCATGACGGTCGACCAGAATCCGCTGGATAGCGTCGCGTTGCCTCACGAGAAGAACAGGACAACACGAGCGAGAGAGTCGCAAGGGATTTGGAGTATGTCACAGAACGAAGTGAATGATAGGTGCGAAGAATGGACCTCGGCTGGTCCAGAGTCCTTTTTGCTCCAATTTCCCCAAATCTGATCCATCTGACGCAGTCTGTATTCTAACCCGACTAACGCCCATCTTCTTGTAGTATTTGTGCTGGTATTAGAATTGCGACGCCCTGCCGACAGCCTTGTACATATCCCATCCCCTCTTTCTTTTCTGTTCTGTCTGAAGATGAAGATCGCCGTCGAGGAAGCTCAGCAATTGGCAGATCGGGCTTTGCGCGCGCTCGGGTACAAGGAAGACGACATTCCTACCATCCGTGACCATCTTATCGACAGTGAGCTCAGAGGCTATGGCATCGCTGGACTTGCGCGAATTCTGAGCATTTCAGAAAGACTGTCCGGTAAGGTGCCAGCATCTGACATCGAGGTGACCTCGGAGTCGCCCACAACAGCCCAGCTCAACGGCAAGGACACTCTTGGCTATCTAGTCGCCCACAAGGCGACAAGAGTGGCAATTGAAAAGGCTAAAGCTTGTGGTGTTTCAGCTGTGGGAGCCAACAATACATACTACACTGGAATGCTGTCCTACTACGCCGAGATGGCTGCGGCTGAGGACCTTGTGACCATCATCGCCTCGAACTGCAGCCCCTGGGTTGCTCCACAGGGCACCTACAAACCTCTCGTTGGAACCAACCCCTTCTGCATCGGAGTTCCCACAGACGATGTCCCAATCATCTACGACATTGGCACTTCCCGCATCATTCATGCCCAAGTAATGCTAGCTATGCGCAAAAACGAACAATTGCCCCCGGACACAGCGTTTGACGAGAACGGAGAAATGACGACCGATCCCGAGAAGGCGTTAAAGGGGGCTCTGGCAGTGTGGGGTGGTGCAAAAGGGAGTGGTTTGGCTATAGCGGTCCAACTACTAGGGATTCTGGCAGGCTCTCCTGCACTGCCGCCAAATTTGGAAGAGTTTGGATACTTCATCATGGCCATCGACCCGGCAAAATTCAGACCGATGGCTGATTTCAAGCGCGAAGTGGGAAATCTCATTACCGCTTTCCATACTACCCCGACCCTTCCTGGACATGCCCTGAGACTCCCCTTTGAGCGCTCGAACCGGCGCCGAGAAGAAATCAGAGCCGGAGGAAATCTTGAGGTCGACGACGTCGTGATTGAGCGGCTCGAAGCATTGATCTCGCAGCAGTGACCAGGTTGATAGCACCTAAGATTGAAAATGATAACAGTCCCCTCGAGCTGGGACTCTAATCTTCAGTGAATGTGCTCGTGTCAGAAAATTGTCTGGAGTTCGCACTAGATAGAACAGTCACGCCACTACTTCAAAAACTCAAAGGATCTTCTCCGACCGCCCAATCTGGGGCAGCTAATTGTGAAAACAATGTCATGTACTCCTACGTACCTCTACATATGTTCTGAATTGTTTTAAGGCAAACTAAGTGCAATTATCTATCATATGCGCTCTACCATCGAGGGTTCTCTGAGCGACAATGTGGCTGCAAGGCAGTTCTATGCCACAAGATGAATGCCCATTCCACCCACCTTTCGAGACCTGCGAGAGTGTTCCTAGGAGGCTCAGCATGTCGAGTCGAGCGACAGCAACCATACCATGTTTCCAGCATGTTTGAGATTTGTCCCTCGAAAAGATCCCTCAAGGCCTCACGTATGGACGGTAGACTGGGTCCCACATCTGTGCCTCGACCCATTCTTGTAATTCCTCATCAGAGTCGACGGGAATATCTGCTGCTTGTGCCAGTCCATCCTCCACTGCACATCGAATCACTGCCATAGCAATCTTGACGCTGACTGGCCGAGCCTGTTCAACACCTGGAACAAGTGCCTTTTCCGGATCTTGCATGGCTGGGGCTTCCTTGGCCAGCGCAGTCACAGCTGCGACAAGCATCTTATCCGTCACCAATTTTGTTCGACACAAGACGCCACCCAAACCTATCCCAGGGAAGCAGACAGAGTTGTTGCATTCCGCCACTTCGATCTCTCTACCATTGTGTCTGACTGGCGGAAAAGGGGATCCCGTTGCAACGAGAGCTCGACCATCAGTCCAGCGGATGAGGTCTTCTGGTTTAGCCTCATGCAGACGTGTAGGATTGCTGAGCGGGAATATCATTGGCCGTTCGACATGCTTTGCCATCTCCTGGACGGCTTCCCTGTTGAAAGCACCGGGCACTGTGGACGTCCCAATCAAGATGTGGGGTTTAACCTCCGCGATTATTGACGCGAGGGATTTGGTGTCCTTTCCTTGCCATTCGGATGTCTTGCGTGCAAACGGTTTCTGTGCAATGGAGAGGGTGTCTCCCATATTGTCCAGAAGCAATCCCGGCTTGTCGACACACCTAACACAGTTAGCCCCTTTCCTTCCGTGAAAGAAGAAAGCCCTACCATATCTGGTTCGCAACATCTTCCTTGCTCTTCTCGGATTGAGTGGCGATGGCCGCTTGGATTTGCTCAGCGATTCCGCACCCAGCAGTCCCAGCTCCGAAAATAACCACTCGCAAGTCCGACATCTTCACCCCGTTTATATGTAAGCCGGCCATGATAGCCGCCAGAGTCACGCATCCGGTTCCTTGGATATCATCATTGAAGACAGGGAACTCACTGCGATATTTGTCGAGCAACCTTCTGGCGTTAGGAAGACCAAAGTCTTCAAAATGGATGTAAGCCTTCGGATAGAGCTTTTTGGCTGTGCGAATGAATTTATCACAGAAATCGTCGTATTGTTGGCCTCGAACGCGTCTGAAGCGATGACCAAGATAGAGGTTGTCATTCAAAAGGTTCTCGTTGTCCGTTCCCGTATCGAGCACGACGGGGAGGGTACGGTCCGGATGCAGCCCACTACAGATGGTCATCAGAGCCAACTTGGCCACGCTGATCAGGATGCCTCCAACTCCTTGATCGCCAATTCCTAGGATCTCTTCCCCGTCACTGACAACGATGTAGTCGACTCCGCCGTCAGGCTCGTTCTTGCTAACAAACTTACTCAGTCGCTCCTCCACCTCGTCCGGATGCTTGATACTCAGAAAACAGCCATCCGGCCTGCGAAAGACTCGCGAGTAATTCTCGATTGCATCACCTTCGGTTGGAGTGTAGATGATACTAAACATTTCCCGCAGGTGATCTTGAATGAGACGGTAGTAGAGCACGGTATTCTGCTCGGCCATCGAGGTCATGAAGGTGTTCTTGGAAAGGTCATCTGGCTGATTGCAGTACTGTTGATAGGCTCGCATAACCTGTTCATCGAGTTTCTGGATATTGGTAGGGAGGAGACCCTTGAGGCCAAAATCCAGACGCTCCTGTGACGTGAAGCATGTTCCCTTGTTGTAGAAGGGATTGTCCAGAAGCACGCGGCCGTAGAGAGGTACTTTGAGCGGACCTTTGGCGGCAAGCGGAAGGTGGTCGAACTTTCCCTGTCCCATGTTTGTTGGATATGCTATAGAGAGCCCAGTCACTTGTCAAAGAGCTGAAGCCGGAGGTGACACAGTCAAAGATACATCGGCAACTTGTTGTTGATAAGGGAGTGATGTCAATAAAGCACCTGAGAAGCTCTAAGCAGACTGCAGAATGCATCCACCGCGGTTTCCTCTCATTGGACCAGGACTTTCCCAAGCTTTGCTGACGTGGAGACTTACAAGACTCCAATGATTTGCATCTTTTCTCGGACCAATGGGCGCATGTTCGCAAGTCCAATCAAGCCTCGCCTTCGCCGAAATACTCTCGGGCCATCAGATTTACAACCATGGCAGCTTCGTCGAGGGATTGAACGACTTTGACATCGCTGCCCAAGTTGGAGCTGTTTCTCGCTCGATCGAGGTGAAGAGCTTCCCAGCCAGCCTTGACCGCGCCAACATAATCTTTCGAGAACTCATCTCCAATGTGAATCCGCAGCATTCTAGAAATGTCCGACTGGTGGCCGATAGCCGATGACACCTTTTTGAACGCGTCTGTTATGCTAGAGGCTGGCTCACAGTGCTGTTCGGATCGAGAAATCGGCATTGGAAAGACAAGCCTCATGGCCTCCATCCAGATTCTCTCCTGCGGCTTCTCTGCGTCGGCGTCATAGCTCGTGCAAAGGAAATCAAAATCGTTCTGGGGATTGTAATAGTCTCTGAAGGGACTATAGAAGACCACGTTGGATGACGGGTCGCGGAGACTCTCCATGTGCGTTTTCATTACACTTTCGAAATCCGGAATGCTCGAAGGCCCTACGCGGAAACCCATGTCCTGAAGCACCTCTCTGACGCGAGGGTCGGAGTTTGTGACGATCCCAGTCGCCACGAGGGGTCCTTCTGGGTCTGCAAACTGTTTCTTGAGCGCAGCCATGCTCTGAAGAAAGGGCTTCACGTCGGCAAAGGCTTCATACGCAGCACTGGAGGAAAAGTGTTTGTAGAGGGCAGACCCCAATTCCTTCGGCAGCGCTGTCTCTCCCCCTTCCACGAGATCGCCGAATACCTGGTTGACGACCTTAGTCCACCATTCCTCGGGGCTCCCAAGTGTCTTCTTGCCATAGTTGGGGTGTACGGTGTTGTAGTGCTTAAAGGAAGATCTGAACGATCGATCTAGCTGTTTGAGATCGACTTTGACCTTTAACCCACAACTTTCGGCGACTTGAAGGTACTGCACAGATACTGGCTGTCGAAAATTGTACAATGTCCCAAGTGCATCGAGGGTAACCACGAACATAGGGAGCTTCTTCGGATGAAAAAGCGCGCTGATCAAACCCATCACCGTCTACTGTGTCATAGGGTGAGTGCAGCTAGGTCCGTTCCAGGAGTTGAAGGGGGTAGAGAATCAGGACCTCTGTTATTTAGGCAGAGGAGAGCAGATTGGTGGATGATGCCGTGATCACAGGCCAAAGAGGGTGCTTGTCGGGAGGGAATATTGAGGCCCCAAAAGACTCCGGCTCCCCAGCTTACATATTATTCCTACTTGTACTGTGTGTTTGTGGGTGCCTCGCTTCGACCCGCCCTCAGCCACCACTGGTCGCCAGCAGTTTTTGGCGATTTGCAATTCATCTAAACACACGAACTTCTCACGATTTGTCAATTGACGCTGCTAGAACTTCACCCTCCCTTTCACAATCTCTCGGAAACCCTCAAAACCCCCCTCCTCGCCTGTCCTCGCATTTTCACCCTCACCAGCCAAACTGTTCTCCTCGAAGCTTTTCCGTGTCTCGCGACCTTTGCCTTCGTCCCTCAGTCTCTCCCTTGCCGCTGCGTCGGTATCTCTCGAAAAAAGCCAACCGCCCACTAAAGCGAACTTTTCCTCCTCTCTTTTACGCGCCATGGCGCCTCCCCATACGAGGGTCGCCATTATCGGCTCTGGCCCTGCTGCTCACACCGCGGCGATCTATCTCTCCCGGGCAGAGCTCAAACCCGTCATGTATGAAGGCTTCCTCGCTGGTGGCACCGCAGCGGGCGGCCAGTTGACAACCACGACCGACGTGGAGAACTACCCAGGCTTCTCCAAGGGTATTGGCGGCGCAGAGCTGATGGAAGAGATGAAAGCACAGTCTCTCCGATTTGGCACGGAGATCATCACAGAAACCATTTCAAGAGTAGACCTGAAATCCCGACCATTTCGTTTGTGGAGAGAGTACCAGGATGGAGAATCAGATGAGCCTGCGCACACAGCCGATGCGGTCATCATCGCAACCGGCGCCAATGCGAGACGATTACATTTACCTGGCGAGGAGACATATTGGCAGAATGGTATATCGGCATGTGCGGTCTGTGACGGGGCTGTCCCCATCTTCCGGAACAAGCCACTCGTCGTGATCGGAGGAGGTGATTCCGCCGCCGAGGAGGCCATGTTTTTGACAAAATACGGCTCCCATGTCACCGTGTTGGTCAGGAGGGACAAGCTACGAGCCTCCAAAACCATGGCGAAACGATTACTGGCGAACCCAAAGGTGACGGTCAAATTCAACCACGTCGCAGTCGAGGTACAAGGAGAAGATAAACCGCGAGGGTTGATGACACACTTGAAAGTCAGAAACGTGGTCACAAAGGAAGACGAAGTTCTGGAGGCCAATGGACTGTTTTACGCCGTTGGCCACGACCCCGCCACCGCGATGTTCAAGGGCCAAATTGATACAGACGAAGATGGCTACATCGCGACGAAACCAGGCACGAGTTATACGAGCATCTCGGGCGTTTTTGCGGCCGGAGACGTGCAGGACAAACGCTATCGCCAGGCTATCACCAGCGCGGGAAGCGGATGCATAGCTGCTCTTGAGGCAGAGAAGTACCTGGCAGAGTTGGAGGATTCCGAGCTGGACCTTGAAAAGGAGAAGCAGGCGAAGAAACCAGAAGTCAATGGTGAAACAGCCCCGGAGTACCGATCCAACCCTCTCTTGTAAATGTAAGATTTCCATGAATTGATGTTAGGCACATAGATGCTAGAGAGGTCTAGAATAGAAATCGAAGAACAATTGATCGTCAAACAATCTTTTCCGTTGTACATAAGGCTAACCAGCCCCCATCGCATTGCAGCAACGACCATAGTAGTACAAAAGTCTGCGCTCAGCGTTGACGCTAGACCTTACCGCCTTCTCAGATACCACGCAAAGGCTGTACTATGAATATCAGCTTGGTAAGGACTGGGTACCTCGGCCAAGCCCGGTCTTGCAACAGGGTGCCTCAGATATACTGCAGCACAGATATTGTGGTTGACTTCGAGGAAGCGGGGGATGAAAGCAAATGCACTCATATATTCCCGGGGCATCCATGGCGTAGCATAGGGCTTTGAGTCATCAACGGGATTCTCGTGCATGGAGCGAAGTGCAGCGTAGAGTTCATTGTAATCGGCGTCAGTCAGGACGGTCTCCTGCTCAGCTTCGGCCGCCGCCACATCGGCAGCCGTTCCTGTCTTTGGTTCTGGTCCTGAGGACGATTCCTTGTCGTCTTGAGCGGAAGGTAGGCTGCTTGCACCGTAGTCACCGTTTTCTTTCCGGATGTTTAGCTGGTGTTGGATTTCAGCAAATTGGGCCTCAAGACTGTCTGTGAGGATTGTTGATGAAGAGGATCGTGACAGCAGCTTTTTGACAGCTACCGAAAACGCGCGAAGATCCTGCTTCCGCTTCGCCCCGATATCTCGCTTTGATGTAGCGAGGATGCTCTTTGCTTTGGCCCGTAAGTCTTTCAGCACCTCACGCGGATCTTTGTCAACATCAACATCCTCTTCAGCCGCTTGTTGCGAGGTGTGTTCCTCTTCGGCAGATTCTGCCGATATCTCTTCCGTGCTACCTTCGTCTGCACCTTCTTCGCTCTTGGTCGCCTTTAGCGGGACTTTGGGGGCTCCTGTTGCCCACATGACTCGCTCCGGTTCAACCTGGAACATATCTCCAGGATTAAGTAAATATCCTGGGTATCGCATCTGTTTCATGCGTTAAATCTAGTACGTTGAAATCGACGGTCTCAGCCTCACCTGCTTGCCATTGACCTTCACCGCTCCATGTACGACAAATTGCCTGGCTTGACGAGCGCTGCTGGCAAACATGGCTCTGAAGATGGCTGTGTCCAATCTCCGCTCCATCGGTGCGAAGGTCATTTGCATGTAAGGTATCGCTGTTGTGGTCTTTTGCTTCCCTCTTGCCTCCAAACCTGAGCCACGCCCTGCAGATTCCAGCGCACCATCATTGGAGGCCAAATACTCTGCATCCATAGGTACCACGGACCGAATCCTCCTGTCAAACATTCGCAGCCACTGTTTCTCGCGGATGTGTTCGCCGTGATAGTTGCGCGCTAGGGATTTTGACATCCATTTTTGCTTGAAAAAATTATGAGATCTTCCTGAGTAGGGCATCTGTCGAGCCAGGTTGTAGAGGTTGTATTTGTTCCATGACTGTCGGATTTTCTGCGGAAGAAGTAAGTAACAAAATCTATAAGATGGGCTTACCAAGACTTACAACGTCAAATAGGAGGTTCTTCTTCACCTTGAGCGGTGTTGAAGGCTTGCGCGGCATCTTCCCAGGATTGAGTTGATACTGGTCGAGTGCATTGAAAGATCTCGTGCTCGTTACAGCAGGGAGTGAGTACGAGGTACCTGTAGAAAAGTGCAGTCGGATATGGAATATTGAGTTTTTCCGAATAGCTCGCCTGCTTAACCTTTTTGGGCTGTTGACTACCCGCTCCACGCAACTATGCGTCGAGCTCCAAAATAACGCCCGATGGACAAGCATGTGAGCCTTTTCTCGAGGGACTGTCTCAAGTAGTGAATGGAGGCATGATCTGGAAGCAGAATGCGAATGGCGGGATCTACAAAGGCCCTCACCGGAGTAGCATGCACCATCGTTTAGGTGTTACAGTGTGTCACTACGTACCAATGCGGTGATGAAGGCATGCTCAATCTCAGGGGTCACTGGCACCAGAAGCAATAAAATCGGGTACAGATGAAAGCTGAAGGAGCTCAGAGCTCCGGCTCCAACACGTATCACTCCCCACTTCAGATATCCTGATCGAGATTCGTATTTGGGACTTATTTAAGCAACGTTGATGCTGAGATAAAATCTTCTATCATAACCGACCCAAACGCCACATTAAAGGCTCATTAAATTCGTGACGCAGAAACCTGTTAACCTTGCATCGTCTGCCAAAAGTAATCTGCATAAAACCATTTCGAGAACTTCGGGTCAATGTTGACGACGTGCACATCCCCCTTCTTCGTATTTGCAATAGTCGCCTTGTTGTAGTTACCTGCTTCATCCTGCTCCAGGGCGATGCCGAGTGATCTGTACAGCCAAAGACGCAATCTGTTCCGACATCAGCGAGGGTTTCAGTGGCTCGTGGGAAGACAACATACATGGTGGGATCATCAACCTCCCTGGTCTGTCTTTTGCTCTCGTCGCCTTCAACACCTTGCTCTTCCAAGGTGGACAATCGCAACTTCAACCGCTCTAGTTCAGCTTCTAATCTCTCACTCTCCGCCTCTAGTTCTGAGGCCTGTTTGGCAATGCGGAATTTCCTTGTATCGAGTTGCACTATCTCGCTAGCATGTTTGCCGCTATCATGACCAGAGAGTACTTCTCGGTGCTGGGAAGAAAGGGTCGCTAGCTGCCTCGATAGTTTTCTTAGAGCGGTCTCAGCGTCTCGGACACGAAGTTCGCGGGATTGTTGTAAGGTAGACAAGGAGTCGTTGACGCGCGACAGGGCGGCTTTGTCGGGCGCAATGTTGAAATTGGAGATTGTTGCGCGGATGAGCTGCATCACGTCAGGTTGGCCCGTAGGTCGATAAGACGGATCACTTACCGTGGATGGATCTTCGTCAAGAAGCATCTCGAATACCTTTGCTTGTCCTCAGAGAAATAGGTGTTAGTCTATCTCGAAGTTGGCCGTTGGGTTGAGTGAATTAAGTTGTGCATCCTTTGTTGACATCGGTTGTGGGGAGCAACCGGCGAAAATTACCTTTTAGGGGTACCTACGTGGGCGGGAACCTAGGCATTGAGGCACAGACGTCATGCTAAGCCACCGCCCGAGCCACAGGACTCTGGACTTCGCAGGTTGATGTCGGCTCCAACTGCGCTCAAAAGACTCCCAACTAAATCACCCCTTTGAATCCTACCATCGTCTCTTGATTCTGCGCAAACATTGTAATCGGCTAGTTGGAAAACTGCGATGCCGTCCAATCTACCATACGCCGCAGATGCAGAAAGGTTGGCGAAGGTTTGACCACCGTTCGTACCAGGTCTAACCCTGTCTACTGCAGCCCACTCAAACCAGCAGAACTCCAAGTTCTACGCGCTCAATACGAGAAAGAAGGTGAATATGTTGGAGTCCAGACAAAGTTCAACTATGCATGGGTATGATTGTCACCTGGCCTTGCAATACCCGTGTCCAAACTGATGGTGGCAGGGTTTGATCAAGTCGAATCAACGGAACGAGCAACAACTCGGCGTTCAGCTGCTCTCAGACATCTTTAAGACGACTCCGGAAAGAAGAAGAGAATGCTTATACTATCTGGCTCTCGGAAATTACAAACTGGGGAACTATGCTGAAGCGAGACGGTATAATGAGCTGTTGCTAGAGAAGGAGCCCGCAAATCTTCAGGCGGCTAGTCTCAGACAATTGATCGATGACAAGGTGTCAAGGGAGGGTTTAATGGGTGTTGCCATCATTGGCGGTGTCGCTGTGGCGGCGGGTATTGTTGGAGGCATGCTAATGAGAGGGTCCCGAAAGAGGTGACATGTTTGAGCCCTTGGTTTGCTTTGGGGCTGTGTATCATAAATGCCTGCGAAAGCCTGGTCTGGAAGAATGAGTTGGAACAGCGTCGAATAATGCACATGAGCAAGCCAAATCAGCGATGCGATAGTCCAAATACAATCAACTAAGTACAAATAAGTATAAGCTGGCTGCGTTCCGTATCCAGTGATTTCGCGCTCCATCTCACAATAAGGTGTACTGTACTCAAGTCTACTTTATCGATAAGTCAGAGCCAGCGCTAGCCAGTGGTGTGGTGATGCAATCCCACTCCGGTGACGGACAGACATACAACGGAAGCCTACCAACTGGACTTTTCTGCTCGATTATCTGGTCACTTTTATTTCATTAATAACCCCATTATCGTTTCACCCAGGTCTCGTTCCCCGCCTCTCCAGTCGGAAGGAGTATTTCAGCCTTATTCGATCACCTCCATTACCAACACGTTCAACCCTTGTCCCAGAGCAACGCCACTTTTGGAAGGCACGAAACACGCCGCTCCGCATACCCACGCCACACTCAGCCTGCGCATGACGACAGCCTTATTTTCACGCCCTTCGTGCGTCTGAAATACTACTCCGCCTATCTCAGTCAGACTTGGGTATCCTCAGATCGCCGTCATGTCAAGAATCCAAGGCGAACGAGTCTTCTGTCACCAATGCCAGAACGAATGGGATCGAGCGCACGGAGGACTCACCTGCCCCCGATGTGAAGGAGACTTCACAGAAATTGTGCGCATAATCACCGGCTCATTACCAACTCAGTGCTAACATAACGCTCCAGCTCGAACCCGGCGAGGCCCAGTCCAGCCATGATTTTGACCGGTCTTCGTCCCCATCCTTGCCCGTCGAACCCCCGTCATCAACCCCCAGCAGTTTCGATGACTACGCTGCGCTACGAAACCATAACCCTTGGTCTGAAGACGCAAACGACGATATCGGGACAGATGTCACAACGTTCGAGCTGACAACCGCCGGCGGAGGTGGAAGAATGGTTCTCAGCACCCGCACATGGAGGAGTGATGGGCGCAATGTACGAACAGATGAGCTATATGAAGTGATTGATGAGACAGGACAAGTGCTTACCCGGCTGGACGAACTACAGGATCAAGGCATGCTTCCTCCCATGTTCAATCTAGATCCCTTCGGATTCCCGCGAGGGCAAGTCGTTGGCGGAAGGGACGACCCTCATCTCCATTTGCAGCCGGCGGGCTTACAAGAGTATGTTTCGAGGCGAAGTGGTGATTTTGTACTGAATCTTTTCGCAGTCTTTTCTCCCTCATATTTCAATCAATGCAACCAGAAGGCTTTCATACTCCAGACACCGACGACAGACGAAGGGGAGGCCCGGCCCCTCTGCCATTCGACCTTCTCCATCAAATGCTCAACCCCGCCAATGCTCGAGCAGGGGACATGGTGTACAGTCAGGAAGCCTTCGATCGGGTTATGACGCAGCTCATGGAACAACACAACACAAGTACTGCACCTCCGCCAGCATCAGAAGAAGCCATTCTATCTCTCAAAAAGAAGAAAGTAGATCGAGAAATGCTAGGCGACGAAGGGAAGGCTGAGTGTTCAATATGCATGGACAATGTTGAGTTGAACAACGAGGTGACTGTCCTTCCGTGCAATCACTGGTTTCACGGTGACTGTGTAACAGCATGGCTGAAAGAACACGATACTTGCCCTCACTGTCGGAAACCCATAACGGAACCAGAAGATCGCCAGCGGCCGGGACTTTCAAGGCGGAGACACAGCCGGCGAGCCTCTTCGATGTCAAGTCCACGTGCCTATACCCCCCCTGAAAGCGATCGATTCAACCCTGCACCGCTTCCAGAAAGTCCCCGCACTATACGAGAAGCCAGAGAGTCCTACTATGGGCGGAGACAAGACTACGATATGCAACATCCTGAAACCCACCGTCACTCAAGCATGCAAAGTGACCTAAGGCGGCATAGCTCAAGAAACCAGAATGGAAGCAGTAGCAGAAGTCGCAATGGTGGGAACAGCGGAGGTGTGACAGGCTGGATTAGAGATCGTTTGCCATTCTCTTGATGACGTTTCGCAGAAAGCAGTCCAAAACTTCTTGGTTTCGGGGTAATCAGGACGATGAGATTGTTATACACACTCATTTCTCACATTGAAATATTCTCAAGGGAAGGCAGAGCATGCAAAGTCCCCTGGCTCTGACGTGCACCTCGCCGCACCAGGCCGTCTCAGACAAGCCCACCTCATATTGTCTCCGATCGAGACCTTTAGGTTTTTGGATTGGTTGGATATCCTCCCAGAATCCTCCGGGAACAACATGGTTATCTTGGTTGGAGTCGTACTGGGATAACTTCCTTGGAGTGAGAATTCGGGTTTGAGATTGAAAGAGATAATGCTGCCAGGAAACGACGCTCAGGTTGCGTTGCCTGAGAAGATATAGGGACGGGCTCGTGTAATAGACACTCGGCTTATTAATGCAGCGAATACCCATGTCGACTTGTTTTGGAGTATGAAGGCTGAGGCATCCAGGATATTCTGCAAATCCAGAGATTCAGTCTCAGTGCTGGTATACAAATTGTAGTATGTAGATGTGTGCCTGGTTTGGTACGTGCTTGCAAATGCCAATACTCAGCCACAGGCACCGCCACCACTGCATTCACATGTTCGTGCGTCACTTGACAGTCAAACTTTCACATGCACTTCGGCCCGCGATGAGAATTCCGCATCCTCGCTCTCCGTTTCTGGTACCTGAGCATGCCACTGCCACCCGGACTTCGGGCCCTACGAACGTCAGAGGATTCTTCTTTGCAATGGTCACAGGTTCTATGCTCCTCGTCAGCTGGTGGTCTTCTATGCCTTTGCCTAAAGTTCTGAACCTGTGTTTCTTATCCTCTCTCACTCTGCATGCGGACGAAGGCTAGATCTGTCCGTGCTTTGGAATGGCGCAATCTTGTTCTGGCTTTCTCTGGAGATCCTGCAATTGACTGCTCTTCTGAAGTTTCTCCTTGATGTCTGTGGCACTCAGTGAGTATCAAATATGATAGGTCTGTTTAAACACATCCCTTCCACAAATTCCCATGCGCTGATTTAGGGTGGGCAGATCATGTACTGGGCCGGCCCTCGTCTCAATTCCGCAAAGTCCAAGTCTTTGCCGTTGTCTCATTCTGGTCACTCTACCTTCTGAGGTAATCCCTCCGTTCTGCTCTGGGAAGACGATTGCTCATGACAAGATAAGAGGTGACAAACATGGTCCTCCTCTCATTCGATCCATATCCCAACGCCTCTCGAAACGGTTTACTGTCTGGCAATCTGTCGTCTTGACCTTCCTCTGGCTCTACATATGCCGAAATTTTGCAAAGATTGTTGGCCTCGAATCCCCCGAACCCCTTGCCAACCTGTACAGCCGAGCATACTTTCGGGCAACATGGATCACTACGGCTCTAGATGCGGGTTTTTGGAGCGCCATGAAAATCAGAAATAAGACCCTCAGAGATTTATGCTCAATTATCTTCTCAGTATACTATCTCTTCGCAGCAGAGCGGGCGGATGAGAAAGTGCGCAAGGTTCGCGCTGTCTTGACGGTCGACCATTTACGAGTGGCATGGAACAAACCAACCACACCGTATCTGAAATTCTTCACTGCGTTATTGCGCCCTCGCTTCACCAAATACAAGCCGCGGCGGATTCGAATCCCTCGCCCAAAGCAGTCACATTACAAGGAGCCCGTGGTTGCGTGGATGTACTTCGACGGCTCTCTCGCCGAATTGGAGAAGCAGGAGAACGTGGTTCTTGATATTCCAGGCGGAGGCTTTGTTGCCATGGATCCAAGGACAAGTGACGACAAATTGCTCGCCTTGGCCGGAAAAACAGGGCTGCCAGTCCTCAGTCTAGACTACCGCAAGGCTCCCGAATATCCCTATCCGTATGCACTCAACGAGTGCTTTGACGTCTACACCCAGATCGTGGCAACTCGAGGTCGTTGCATTGGCATGAAACCAGACATGTGCCCGAGGATCGTGATCACAGGCGACAGTGCGGGTGGGAATCTGGCATGTGGCACGACTCTGATGGTCATACAATCAAATCAGAGCAGCGCTACTCGTGGAATTCTGCCATCTCCCGCGGGTCTGGTTCTCCTTTACCCGGCCTTGGACTTCAATATTGGCAGCTGGATGACAGATGATCAAATGGCGCTGATCCGCAACCCACGAACGGCGAAGAAATATGAGCGCTTCATCAAACGCAAGAGTGAGGATATCGACCGCCGATATACTCCAACGACACCGAGGCCCATGAGTGACGATGAGGACGACCACAACCACGATTTCTTCGCCCCTCGGGTCGAGAGCCCTATTCAGGATGAAAGGCCTCTTGCCCGAAAGAGTACAGACGTGGAGGCACAAAAGCAAGCTGTTGCCCTCTCCAAGCCTCAGCCGCTGAAAACAAGACTGGCCGTCTCCAGCATCATCTCTTACTTTGGCGACCGAATCCTTACTCCCGAAATGATGCGTGCGATGATTATTCTCTATGTAGGGCCATACCATCGCCCTGACTTTACCACAGACCACTTGCTTTGTCCGGCTGTGGCATCCGAAGGTCTCCTGGCCAGATTTCCGAAAACATACTTCCTGACCGGCGAACGTGATCCGTTGGTCGATGACACCGTCATCTTCGCGGGCCGGTTGCGTCAAGCGAAACTCCACCTCTTTCGTGAGCGTCAAGAGGTCGGCCTCGAGAAATCGACAGCCGAGTTCAATGAGAAGGACCACGTTGAAGTAACACTCATTCCCGGGATATCACATGGGTTTGTGTCCTTTGTAAGCATCTTCCCTGAGGGCTGGAAACATATATTCCGCTGCGGGAAGTGGATCCAGGACATCTTCGCAAGGCCACCACATCAGTTCGAAGGTCCGGCGATCGAAAGCAGGTTGAGACAGGGGACTTTCACGCACGACTCGGGCAGCTCGCTTGAGCTTGCAACGACAACCGAAACGAGGCACCACAGACGGACTCCCACAGGAGAAAGCATGGATGACGATGCACCATTGGTTATGTCCAGTCTCAGCTCTGGTAAAGAAGCAACGACGTCGGTGGCTCGAACAAACGGGTCCGCGAAAGGGGAGAACAGTCGGCGAAGACAGGAAGAGAGGTCGAAGGACTCAGACAACCTTGGCCGCAGCAAGAGCCTCATCAGTCTCGGCAGCGAAGAGGACCTACTGAAGCGGAGGATGAAGGGCTTGACGGTTGGGTTGTTGGGTAGTCAGGATTCTTGAGGAGGCAGAGCTGGAAGCTGTCACATTCATCAGAGCCGTCAACCAGTGAAGACCGAGATTTGTTAGTGTGCCGCGTCGTTTAACTGGTTTCATGAACCATTGGCGTGACACAAAGATCTACATAAATCTCATAGACTGCGTTGAAAAGTAAAAGACCTGGATCAATGACTACTAAGTCTCTCATTAATTTCGGGGGGTTATATGCTTTACAAGACATCGTTCTTTGCGGAGAGATACGCCAGATTCGCCTCCTCAAACCTACATTTCAGACTTTCATCTCTCATATTTGAACCTGATGCTTTACCTGTCAAATATAGACGCACCGTTACTTATTCCCGAGCATATGCCCCGACCCAGGATACATAGAACACCTAGATTACATTGTCTCTCTCTCCGTTCGGCGGGACCACGGATCCTGTTCCCCTATGGCAGACGGAAATGGTGTGCCATCGTCCTTCACCCGTAGCGTTCCACACCCCCGGTCTTGCTGACGCTTGACCTTCGGATGAATCCCATAATTCCGTCCCCTTGAGGCGGTGGCGGTGGTGATTGTGGATGGAGAAGAGGCTCGGAGGCTGCCATTTCGTGAACATGCGGCGGCGGCGGGGCGTTGTATATCGAGTGAACCGGTGTTCCGTTTCTGCTTATACCATTAGTATATGTCAAGATTCTCAACTTATTCCTGCAGTGGGCAGTCATGGAACACTTACATGCTCTGTGGAACGCCGCTGCTGTACGCCGGGACAGCGTACATCTGGCTCGGGCTTGGACTGTGTGGCGAGGCGAGCTCACTTCCTGGCAACATCGGACCAGGGCTCAAGGAATCGCTCATCGGCATTGGATATGCTGGATGGAGAGGGGGCGACATGGTAGGATCATGTGAAGGTACGTATCCAGGCAGGGCTGGAGAAGGTCCCAGGCCTACAACACTGCTGTGCATGGACATATGCTTGGTCGGATCGGTCATATAAGACAGATGGCCATGCGGCGCTTGTGGATTGTAGGAAACCTGTGTTGCGTGGCCTGTGTTGGGACGATCATCAATGTTTTTATTGTTGACCTCACGAGCGCGAGATTGCCGACCACAGAGATAGAGGGCAACAGCAGCCGCAAGAGCTACAGCCGCGCCTCCGATTGCAATCCCAGCAATCGCACCACCAGAGAGGCCTGACTTGGACGATGACTTCTCGCTGGCGGTTGTCTCGCTCGAGGAGCCAGCTCCGGTGGGTGAAGCAGTCGCTGACGCACTGGTAGTCGCGGACGCTGTGGTGAACGGATCCTCGCTCTCGTCGGGCCAAGGTTGACCGGGCAGTAGCATGAACTGGGATTGTGATGCCAAGTCTTTCTGATGCTGTAAGGATGTCGTGGCATTGGGATTGATGACGCCAACCATCTGATGGTCAATACATGATCCCGGTGCACCACAATAATAGAAGATTGGATTGGTGTCATTGACCACGATCGACCACTCAGGTGGTTCACTCAATATCGCATCTACAGGCTTAAAGCCTGAGAAGAATCCGACCTTGTCGACACCGGTATCCTCGTATGGAATGCAAGCGTACCCATATTCTGAGCGAATAACGGAGTGATTGGTTGGGTAGAATTGAAACAAGATTGTATCGCCTACTTTGGCCAAGGTCACGTCGGGCACGAATGTGAATCCTCCCTACTCGATGTATTAGTTATATGCGCCCATAACACAGCCTTCTTTGGAAGCCCCCCGTACCAAAGCCACCGCCACCGTGTGTGTTATAGGACCTTGCGTTGTGCTTGAGGCAGTTGTTGCGCTGTTGGAATCTGCGCTGTCACTCGTACTCGAAGAAGTGGTGGCAGGCGCAGAAGTGACGGAGTCAGTCGGAGTGGTGGTCAATGCGTCGGTCACACTAGTGGGAGTCGCAGTGTCTTGAGCAGAGGCCAATGCAGCGAGACCAAGGAAAAGAGCGATGGACCGCCGCATCGTGGGCCAAGAATGAGAGAGATCGACCAAGTATGACGGCGAGGTTAGAGCCTCTTCTGCGATGGCGGCCGTCGGGATAGGGCTGCGCAGATATCAATATCGCAGCGAAAAAGAAACAGAAAGGAAAGCAGAGCGCGGGAGGAAAAGAGTGGACGAAGTCAGGAACGTGTTCGGACCCTAACTTGCAAATTCGCAGATGGACGGTTTGCTGTATGTACCGCGTGCTCGGTTCCTAGACGACAAAGCTGGACGTGGGACTTTTGATGGATTCCGCCAGAGGCAAGCTGACAGGGGAAGCTAAGGGTGCAAGCTCCTTGCACGACGCAGGGAACCTGCAGCCTCATGCAGGTACCGACAGGCCCAACTCGCCTAGCACGGGATAGCGTAAGGCCATGGCTGCACGGCCAGGCTCTCGCTCTCTCCGTGAGATGGCATTTGAGAGCCGTCAGAAACATGGGGATTTTGCCGAATGGAGCAGTTCCTGACATGGCACCATGGTTCAGTCCTGGTAGATAAGGAGTCAACGCCAGTTCGGCTGCAGCGAACAGGGAAGACCCTCACTATGAAGGCCCAGAACACTGCTGGAAAAGGCTAAATCCAGTCAGCAACAGGAAGAGCTCATCCCCGGTAACCAAATGCAATTGATCCTTCACTGGGGAATCAAAGCCTCCGAGGTGCTGGGTGCTAGTCCCTGGACTGTTCTCACTGATGCTGATCTATACTTTTGCAGTGCATTCGAAGACATCGATCGCGAACATTTCCTTGTACACGAGACGGGAATGAACCCTGACTCGGCGCAAATTGTTCGTTCGCAACGACGGGATCAGAAAGAAAGATGAAAAGAGGGAAAACATCCTCGTATTCAGATTAAAGCGTCGAAGCTTCACTTAAGCTTCATCTACCTACATATGTATGTACTCGGTACTGGGCCTGCGCATTCCGTCAGAAACCTCCTTTCTCGCAGTAATTGGTCAGTACACCCGTTCCGCCTAGCCTTCCAATGATATGCAGATGCCTCGTGGGGCGATGGAATGGCCCCGAAATTGCAACATGCATTAAGAACGCCTCGTTTAGCACCACAGCGTCCCCGACCTCCGCCACGCTGGGTTTGGTGGCTGGCACGAAATTGCCCTTACGACTACCGAATACTACGTTCAGTGTCGACAATCGTCAGAGGGAGAAAAGGAAAAGGAAAAAGGCAAAAAGGCAAAAAGAGTAGAAGCTGCATACAACTTCGAGGAGTGGAGAAATTGGACAAGCATGGATCAAAGGGTTAGAAGACCGATACTACAGCCCACGTTGCATGATGTAAGGTTGCCTTATGGCTCCTGTTTTCAGTCAGGAAAGTACCAAAGCACGAGCGGACGGTAACCCTGTTTCCAGATACGCCGTGACATTAGAACTTGTTCCAAAGATAGCAACCATCCAGTCATTCCAGATGGTGGTTATTGTCACTCCACAGCCACAAAGAAAACCTCTCGCCCTCACTCAAACTCTTTGCCATGCTCCAGTCATCCTACCTCTCCCAGAATACTCCCAGTCCCCAGCATTGGCGCGCCCCTCGACGCACGCAACTCGTTACTTCTCTTGACAATATCCCTGTCGAAAACCCACCACCAGGACTTGAATACCTTCTCACCCACTTCCCAATTCTTCCCGGAATACGGATCGCTACCGCTTATCCTTACCCCCTCGGCGCTGTCTTCCAGGTCATACACGAAGTCCACCAGGGCCATTGGCGAGGCTGCCCCTGGAGGCCGAACTTCCGGAGGCTGTGACAAGACTTTGATCATTCTGTCACGCGCCGACGGCCACGGAAGAAGGTCGATAACTGGGTGGTGTGGAATGGTAAGTTGGATCAGGGTCGGCTGCAAATTATCTGGTAGGTGACTGAATTGTGCCAGAGGCGCGGAGGAATCAGCAAATGGCGACGTCGCGGTCAAAGACCATATGATGTCTTGGACTTTCATCCGCCTGGCAATTGCCATACACCCCCGAAGTAAGGTAAGTTCTGCCATCTCTAGGTGCGCTTCGTCTGGGAAAGAATATGTCATTTCCTGATCACAGATTGATTGCGCGAGAGGCGTCTTCTGGCCGGTCTCCGAAGGTTCTTGGGAATCCGGAAGAGGTGTCAATAACCAGGCTTCGCCCTCGCTCGACGATGTATGCTTTGACGACGATAGTGGTGAGCTTGGTAACGAAGGCAGCACTCCTGAAGTTTCCCAGAGAGCCGGATCCTCGAACGGAATGCCAGTGAACGAATATGCGTCGTAGCTAGCAAAGGCATCGAGCAAAACAGGGAGCGACGCAGTTTCTCCTGTCGTCTCGATCTGATAATCGCAGATACTGCCATTGAATGATGTCTCGGATGTTTGGACGGGTGACTGCGATGATGGAGCACCAGTATCTGACTGTGTTGCAATGGCGTTTGGTGACGTATCTGGGTCCGTCGGCAGAGGAAAGTTCTGCGGATACAGGACACCAGAGTCCCCATTCGCATCTGCTGCCTGGGCCTCGAGCTTTTTGATGTGCTCTTTTCGCCTCTGGCGATATCGTCGTTGAGCAAGGACGTTGAGAACTCGTTTCCTCTCCGCCGCATCTTCCCCAGGCTGCGGCACCGCCAACGGTGCGGGTTTGCGCTTGACGTGGGCTTTCTTTTCAGACATGATCCGGTGTACCATGCGCGAAACAGGGAACGAACGGCTTTTTAAATTTATCCTGGACAACCGACCTGAAACAGCGTGGATTATGTGAAGCTACTAAAGGAAATGAAGAGAACGGCAGCCCAAAGACTGCAAATATAACATCCAAGCTCGTACTCTGTCTTGTGCTTCGTCTCTTGGGAGTCGAAAGATTGTCATCGCCGTCCGTAACGTCGAGTCTGGGTTTAAACACACCTCCCAACACCAAAGTTCCCGAGCTGTAGACCATAACGTTATGGTTGCACGCCGGAATACGAGGTTGCTCGGCCCAGTGTGGGGGCAAAGACAAATGCCAATGAGCCACGCACCCTGATAGGCCTGGAGAGATGTTTTCGCCCAGATGTTCCCCGCTCTTCAAAGTCCGAGTACGAAGGAGAGGATATCGTCGGTGACTTGATTTGCATGTGTGAGGTACATACCGTGTGCTGCCTTCTCGTAGATTTTGACTTGGGCCTGACTGACGAGGTTTGGAATGAGATTCGCAGTGGCTTCGGCGGAGTTACCTGTGCCGATAGATGCATGAGCACTTGTGGATGAGACGACAGATGATTTTGGATTTCACTTACTCTGGTCATTGTCTCCGTGGATGACGAGAACTCTTATATCTTTTCTATCCAGTTTCTTGAGGTCATCGGTGAAGTCTCTGTCCGTGATGATTTGGACGCAACTCTCGATCGCAAGGGCGTCGGCCTGTGCGACAATCCATTCGAACCTTTGCAGAAGTGTCTCGGGCACCTCGATGTCGATGTTGAAAGGAACACCAAACACGCCTGGAAGTGCGTTTCTGGTGAAAGCCGTGCGATCCAAGCGGAAGCCAGACAAGATCATGTCCCAGAGCTCTCGGGACGGTGCTATGGGATTTGTGTCCGTCTTTAATGGGAACGGGAGACTGGGACCCAACCATATCAAACCCTGACATTTCTTCTTCAGATCTTCACGCATTTGAAGGTACGCCAAAAGAGATTCTCCGCATCCCATGCTGCTCGCGACGAAGAAGAAATCGTCAACCTTGACATGATCGATCAAGTCAACGGTGTCTTGAGCAAAGGTGTCGTAAGAGATCTCCGTGCTGCAGTTGGTGTTCCAGTCGCTTTTCCCAAAGCCTCTTCGGTCGGACGCGATACATCGGATGCCGTACGTCTCGCAGAACCGCACCATCAAGTGCTCGTACATGTGATGCGACATTGGCCACCCATGGATGAAGACCAGTGTCTTGCCGCTGTTGCTAAAGTCTTTTGTTTTGCTGGCTGTTGGCTGAAAACGAGGGCGGCTTGAGGCCGGTCTGTAGTCAACATAGTAGAGAAGCGTATCATCCAGGCTGGAGTGAATGAAGGGCATTTTGTCACGTCGATCGAGGTAATTGGAGACGGCTGCTTGCAATGCTCAGATCAGTGCGCTTATGAATGTTGGTTGACGGAGAGACTCAAGCGCTCTAGGCTTCATATTTGTAGTAGTTGTAGGAAGTTTCAGTCCCACAGAGATTCTAACGCAAGAATAACGAGAGGCCTGCAGATCGAGACTTGACCCAATGCATAATCTCATTCATGTCGTTAACCACCCGCTTGTCATCCGTCATCCTGAATATAGCATCGATATGCTCCAAACCCTACATGACCTCTCTCATCCAGCATCGTCGCTCTGCCTGCTCACAGTCCCCTGTCGAGTAGGCGTAGGCGTGGGACTCCCTTCGCGGTCAAGCCCACGTCCCATGGGTCGCACTTTGCTCCCAACAAAACCCTTCCGATTCCGACCGGTACGGCCCCGACCTAGCCAGTTCAATTTCAATTGCTTGTTGAGTTCCTCCATCCGATTCTGAGCTTCGTCTCCAGACTGAATCGAACACAACACCGAGAGGCACTGGAGCATTCGAGCCACTGTTTCTGTGACGTGCGATGATGAGCTATCGGTCGGCCTTGCTGCTGGAGGAGAGCTAAATGATTGGAAGGCCACGTCCTGTGCGGGATTGCTCACCACGGACAGATTGGATGTTGCGCGAGACCTGCCGCCGGACGTCATACTGCCGAGCAATGTACTGGTCTGGGAATTGTAGCTTCCATATGTTGGCTCGGTGCCCTGAGCAGTACCAGGCCTGTCACTTCCACCGCTGTTGCCGCGGTTTCTGTTCCCATTTTCAAATTGCATGATGGACGCGTTGATGCTGTCCAGACTCAGTCGCGAGAAGGTCGACTTCAGCACCTCGTAGCGTGGCAGTACGATAGTGTCCCGGTAGCTGATGAGCAGGATCCGTCTGACCTCCAGCTCCTCGCCCGCTGCAACCACAAAGTCTGCGCCCTCTCC